CCTCCGAACAAAATACGACTAATCTTATAAAACGGGTTTTCTTGTTTTTCTCTCATTCCCAATTTTGGCGCGTGCGTGATGTGGAAAATAAACAGTTGAATTGAAAGCTTTGAGACGGACAAACATTACATGCCCCCAGCTATGCTGAGAGGGGGGTTGGGCTCGCTCCTTCTTCGAAAAATTGTTTATCGTAGACACCCCCCCCCCCCCCCCCATAAAAAATGCCTCGTTATACCTCTGACCTAGATCGTGAAACCAAGTTAGGGCTGTCGCCTTCCGATAGCCCTGAACAGTAGTTTTATCCCATGCTCTTAGGAAATTCGTCCGGAATCGAGGGCGATCCTAAAATACTGTCGTGTTAAGGAAGAACGCCGTAGAACATTCGAGAGTTGCCAAATTTCCCTTGATAAAACATGTATTTTTGACAAAATGCATGCATATGTTTCTTCAAAATTTTCAGATAATTTCGATTAAATTGCGCACAAAATTGTCTGAAAATCATGAAAAATATTATTCGCAATTTTTCCGGTAAATTCGGTTTTCATCGGAGGAAACTTGGCAACGTCTAAAGCTCATACGGCGTTCCTCCTGTGCACGGTAGAATAGGTTTCCTCACAAATAAGAGAATGAACCCCGTGTTTCCAGGGCAAGGGTTATTACACGTGTTTGCTCGGAAAACTCCCCCGTAAAGAAAATTCGCGGCGCGCCCAGTGAGCGTAAGACCCGCGCTACCGTGCTGAGGAAAAACGCCGTATGAACCTTCGGGCGTTGCCAAACTTCCTTGATAAAACACGAATTTCCTGGTAAACTTATGAATATTTTCCTTCCAATTTTTTAGAAGCTTTTGTTCGCATTTTCACCTAAAGTTCCTAAAAATTTCGGAAAAATATTCATGAATTTCCTCAAAAATAATCATTTGTATCGAAGGTACTTTGGCAACTCTCGAATGTTCATACGGCGTACTGCCGTACTGCCGTGCTAAGGAAAAACGTCGTATGAGCCTTTAGGCGTTTCCAAATTTCCTTTGACAAATCACTAATTTTCAGGAAATTTTTTGAATGTTTTTCTGCCAATTTCTCAGATAATTTTGATTGTAATTTGATCTATTGTGTCTGAAAATTTCAAGGGAAAATATTCATAATTTTTCTTAAAAGTAAACATTTTATCGAAAGAAATTTGGCAACTCTCGAATGTTCATACGACGCTCTACCATACTGCCGTGCTAAGGCAAAACGCCGTATGAGCCTTCAAGCGTTGCCAAGTTTCCTTTGGCAAATCACGAATTTTCAGGAAATTTTTTGAATATTTTTCTGCCAATTTCTCAGATAATTTTGATTGTAATTTGATCTGATTAGTCTGAACATTTCAAGGAAAAATATTCATAATTTTCCTTAAAAGTAAACATTTTGTCGAAAGAAATTTGGCAACTCTCGAATGTCCATACGGCGTTTTTCCTTAGCACGACAGCGTAGCACGGCAGCCCGGTTGTGCCCTAGTTTCGTTGGAGCCGCGTGGCGTGGTGGGCCCATATTTCGTCGCGCCCCCCCTACCCCCTCCTCCCGCCCCCCACGTCCACTTTCCTTGATCCCGGACGCTCCCGCGGGACCCGGAAAACCCCGGAAGCAATCCCGCAAACACGCCGCGCGTTCACGAGCCGGAAGTCCCTTTATCGTCCCTGGAGGGATGCCGTATCGCGTGCAAGTCCGAGGGATTTTCTTACGATTTGAGGTTCCAGTGGAGGGACGTGGAGATTTTTTCGAATGAATCGATTCTGAGGAATCGATTTGATTTTATAATCAGATGAAAAAAATTGATTTCGGAAAAAATCAAATTTTCAAAAATTGATTTTAGAACATTTAAAAACCAAAGTTCCGGCTGTAGTGAAGGGACGTGTGTGGCCGTCCTCAGGAAAGAGGATAGGGATGGCGATTTGTTCGGATGAATCGATTCCGGGAAATCGATTCGATTTTATAATCGGATGAAAAAAATTGATTTTGGAAAAAATACATTTTTCAAAAATTCATCTTTCGATCTTTGCATGGAGAGTTTGTTTTGATGTAGAGGTGGACTCTCAGGATAGCGTGGGATATCCCCTCCATTTTGGCCTCAACTTGAGAGCTTTCTTTGAGCTTGGGAGTTGATTTCAGAGAAAACCAGTGGCACAATCGTGTTTCTCGCGAACTTTTACATTGGAATCAATAGTCAAATCGCAAATTCCACACACATGCAACATCTCCATTGCACAGGTAAATTCGTTTTAAAAATTGAATTCAAGTCAATTTGGCAACCTTGCGGAACGGAGTTCCGTTCTTTCGTCCGGGAAACGACGAGTGAACCCCGCGTAAAAACCAGCGAATTTTCTCGTTTTTTTTTAGCGGCGTAACGGCGGCAACAGCGCCGCGAACGAAATTAAAAGGGGGTGGGATGAGCCGCTACCTAGAGCGTTACCCCCTCCTGGAGTCCTGGATCGCGGCTGGCGCCAAGCGGTGGCGCTTCGCGGTGTCCGGCGCGCGGCGCGGCGCTTTTATGCTTATCACCCGACAGTAGCGCACTGCCCGCCGCGCACTCCACTTCGTCCGCCTCGTGAGTTCGTGCTCCTATCGACGCGGTCGCTTATCACGTCAGTCTCTTCAGTCGACTCGTGCCTTCGCGACGGGATACTTCCTCGTTGTCACTCATCGGTTTTCCGGCGTGTTTTATCGTGATTGAAAAGGTGCACCCGAAATTCGGGATTTGTTTGGAATATTGTGTGGTGCGCGTTTTGGTGCCCTAACTGGATACGTAAATAGTTGGAACCGTAGTCGAGTTGGAATTAAGGTATACTTATGATTGTCACGTATTTAATTTTTTAATAATCGAAGCGTTGGGTGCAAAAAGTGCATTTCTAAGTTGCGTTGTTTCAGAATCTCCAAAGCTAATTTTTAATTAAGAGAGGGAACTATTGGGTGAATTTCTTGAAATTCTACGTTTTCACCATTGTAAAATCTTGAAGAATATTCGGTAAGCACTGGAAAAAAAACACATTGGATCTAGAGTCCAGACTCCTGAAAACATCGACAAGAAAAAGGACTCTTGATTCAATCAGATAATTTGTTGTAACTCTTACTGAAAATTACATCAAAAGGAAATTCGCTCAAATTAAGAGGCCTGGTTCTTGATTTAAGCTTACATGTGATTGAATCAAGAGTATTTTTTCTTGTCGATGTTTTAAGAGTCTGGACTCTAGATCCAATGTGTTTTTTTTCCAGTGTTGGGTGCAAAAAGGGCTTTTCTAAGTTGCGTTGTTTCAGAATCCCCAAAGCTAATTTTTAATTTAGAGAGGAAACTATTGGGTGAATTTCCTGAAATTCTACGTTTTCAGAATTGTAAAATCTTGAAGAAGTTTCAGTAAGAGTTACAACAAATTACATGAATTTTCTTTAATTACGACGGGCGAAACAGAGAAATCGTCCAACGAAGCAGTCCGAAAATTTCACTGATTTTTCTTTGTTCTGCCGATAACTTACCGTGAAATTCTCAAACAGATTCAGCCTACACTTTCTCTGTAAAAAAATAAAAAAGCGGCGGAAATTTTTGAACGTCGCATGGCGCCTGTGATATTTCGGCCGGAAGGTGACGACTTGTTGAAACAACAAAAGAGTAAACAATTTGATAGTTTAAAGCGAAGTTTTGTGAAACATTCGCTCAAAAACATTATCGTAAATCAAGTGAAAATTAAAAGAAATTCAAAAATTCTTCGGAATATCATCCGGAAATTACAATTATGAAGAATTCTAGCTATTTCAATAAATTAAAGTCACGTTGAAAGAATTTCAGTCGGGTTTGAAATTACTCCATTTCCGAGAACAGAAATAGACATTTTTTTTCGGTTCTACCTAATTTAGACTGTGTGGAGATGGAAAAATTTACACGGTTTATCATATGCAATATTGATTCGTCCAAGTCGAAAAACGTTTATTTCGATTGCAACGTTTCTAAATTTTCGAATGTTTTATTTTGTTATGTGAAACTGATCTTTTGGAAATTACTTATGAATATCCTCGAATGACTGAAGAAAATTCACAAAAAAAAAATCAAGGGAAAGTGATTGTTCAGTTGGCTTTAACCGGAAAGAAAAACAATCGACGCACAATACATCGAGTCAGTAGGTGAGGTCGGACAAAATTCGGAAACTTTGAAAGCTCGTAACTCTGCTTATACAAAACTTTAAGGTTCTAAAAGTGGTTCCATCAGTTTCCTCGTGAAATTTTCTACTCATAGCACCTAGTAAAACGTAAAATTTGACGAAATAAACATAAAAATTTGCAGTTTTAGTCAAAAATTTCATGTCCGAACTCTCTGGTTGACTCGATCCACTCGATGTGACGCAACGATTCGCACTGTTTTAATCGAAAATATTTTTCTCTCAACTTCAGCCATCGATATGACAACATACTCAGCGTTGAGCTTTAATTGGTGATGATAAGCTCTGAATCATCATCCATCACTCACCCTCTCCCGGAACCTATTCATTCGTTTATTCATTCATTTATTTTATTTATTTTTGGTAACTGAAATTCACACCCGTTCGCTCCGTATCGGAAATGTTTGAAAACGTAAATTGCATCTCCTATTTTCGTTGAACTTTCGTCATCGCGAAGCATTGCATTCTGAAGTGACTAACCTCAAATTGACAGGATTTTCTCTGATGATACATTTTCTCCGTGTCAATATTTACAAATTCATAATGAGATCACTCAGGATAAGAGATAACGCGCGTACCAGTTCACGGAATATTTCGTTTATTATTTATCCAGTTATCTTCGTAACATTTTCTCTCCCCGTTCGAGGTTCTGTGTCTCAAGTATGGGGCCTCGTAGCATGACAAAGTTCAAGTTTTGACTCGTTTATTTCTCCTTGTTTTTGACTCATTTGTGTACATTTGTAAATGATGCTGTAAAGCTTAGTTTACCCGTAAAATTGACAGTATCTTTTTTTTTTTTTGTTTCTTTCCTTTTCAGTTTTGGTGAATGCGTGTTGTTAGCTTGTTGATAGTTAGTTATCGTTTTGGCATGACATTTATCTTCCTCTAAGTTGTACCCCTTTCGTAGAAGTCGACCGCAGATATGACCAACTCTCAGGTATGTGCCATAATCCTTGAATTTGTTATTGTTTTATGATACATATTTTGTTCTCTAGGATATGCCAAGAATTGTTGCACTATTCCGTCGTAAATTTCAAGCAGTGCTCGCATTTTTCTAGCTCAATTCCAAAATCTAGCGAGTTTTGCGTTAGAATTGGAATTTCAGAATATGTTTTGAGTTACCCCGTACATTCAAGATTTTGTCTGTCCAAAATTACCTAAAATTACTCAATTTGTTAAGCTCTTGGATTATCAAAATTTCCTAAATCCCAACCCCGCAGATTTTTCACGCAATTCTTCCGGAACCATTTGAATAAAACAAGATTGAATTTTTTCCTGAACAATTGAATTGAAATAAAAAAGTTCCCAATTTTTAATAAATCGTTAAAAAATAACGAATAAAGATATTTATTTATATAAAGATGTAATGTTCAGAGCTCTATTCAAAAATTAATATTTATTACGAAGTTATTTCTCATCGCGGCAGTGTAGATATCTTGGTTATTTTTCCGAGGGATTATTATTTTAAAAGTATTGTCCCCTCGAGCCGTCAGTACTGCCGTGCTGAGGAAAAATGCCGTATGAACATCCGACAGTTGCCGACTTTAACTTTATAAAATGTGTATTTTCGACGACATTCATACACATTTTCCTTTGAAATTTTCCGATATTTTAGACTGAATAGCGTACGAAATTTTCTGAAACTTTTGGGAAAAAATATTCACAACTGTCCCTATGAACTCAGCGTTTATCGAAGGAAATTTGGCGACGTCTGAAGGCTCATACGGCGTTCTTCCTTAGCCCGGCGGAGTAGACAAGAGTCAACAAATATGCCTCGAGGGGTCTCGCGGGACGGAGGGGTGACCTTTTTTGGGAACAAAATGGGCCGGAGAACTGGGTCAGAATGTCGATGAGGGAATGAATGGCCGAGGCTGATCCCGTATGAAAGCTGTCGCCCGGAGTTGTAGACAGTGCCAAAATAATACATTGATTCTACCCGTTGAGAAAATTGATTTATCGGTTCCATCTCGCAACTCCGCTTCCACAACTTCATCAGAGGGTTCCCTGGCTCGAATTCCTTATACTCTCCGCCGGGTAAGGAAATTCTCTCCCCTAATCCCTCCAGAAATAGGAGACAAGGCGAAAGAGTCCTGAATAATAATGAATTTGGGAAGGGAGGGACGGTTACCGCCGAGGAAAATTGGGACATTTTTAATAAAAGGGCGTCGGAGGGCCGCAGCTAAAGATCGTGTAACTATGTTATAATTTCCAGGTTGACAAGTTCTTAAGGTGATTCGATGGACGCTATATTTTGTGTCAGAACGACATGCAATTTATCGCATCGATTAGTTCCATTTTCTCAGCTACTCGTAATTTTTCTCAAATTTTGAGATCGCAATTCGGTTGTCAGGAGACTAAAGCACTCACTTACCAATTTTAAAAATGAAATCAACGTCACAAAGGCGTGGTTTTTTTAGAGAAAAAATATCGCACTCGAGTGCAGATTCGATATCAGTATCGAATGCGATGTTTTCTCTCTAAAAAAACCACGCCATTATTACACTGAATTTGTTTGTAAAAATTGATAAGTGAGTGCTTTAGTCTCCTGACAACAGAATTGCGATCTCAAAATTCGAGAAAAATTATTAGCAGCTGAAAAAATAGAGCCAATCGATGCGATATATCGCACGTCGTTCTGACACAAAATATGGCGTCCATCGAATCACCTCAAGGTAATTCGATGGACGCTATATTTTGCTTCAGAACGACATGCGATTTATCACATCCATTAGTTCCATTTTCTCAGCTACTTGTCATTTTTGTCGAATTTTGAGATCGCAATTCTGTCGTCAGGAGCCCAAAGAATTCACTTACAAATTTTGACAAACAAATCCAACTTACTAAAAGCGTGGTTTTTCAGAGGAAAAATATCGCATTCGATACTGATATCAAAACTGCACTCGAATGCTATATTTTCTCTCTAAAAAAATCACGTCTATATTACGTTTAGTTTGTTTACCTATCAAAATTAGTAAGTGAATTCTTTAGTCTCTTGACAACAGAATTGCGATCTTAAATTCGAGAAAAATGACGAGTGGCTGAAAAAATGGAACTAATTCATGCGATCTATCGCATGTAGTTTTGACACAAAATATGCCGTCCATCGAATCACCTTAATCAAAAAAAGAAGAAAGAGAGAAAGAAAAAAGAACCTGGTAAAGTTGGAGAATTTTACTTGGATCAGAATTTATGAAAAAACGAGCTACTCTGGGGGTGTAATGTTGTGCGACCTGTACATATGAGCTTTAGGTCCTTAAAAATGAATCAGAAATCAAATTGACAAAAAGAAGAAAACAATCGTAAGTTAACAACGTCGAAGATAAGAGAAACGTAATCGAGTCTCGTTTTTAAACTTTTCTCCCGTATCTGTCAATGGCAGCGAAGAGCGGAGCATTGCGAGATCACGTCTCACGCCATCGCGCCTTCAACTTCGCAGACGCAACACGGACGTCCATCAAGTACGAATAGTTGTATCTCTGCGCCGTCATCAACGCGCGTCGTCTCCCTTGCTTTACTCTGCCGTGCTATGGAAGAACGCCGTATGAACATCCGAGAGTTGCCAAATTTCCTTCGATAAAATGTCTATTTTTGAAGACAATAATGAATATTTTTCCTTGAAATTTGTATGCGTTTTTGATCAAATTACAAACAAAATTATCTGAGAAATAGAGAATTCGCAGGTGTCTTAAATTTTGTGAATTTCATCTTTAAAATGATACTACTAGAAAATCTGAGTAGGAAGACATCTTTGATAACAATTGGACCGCATTTTGCGATTTGGAATTATAAATTCTGGCTTATCTGAAAAAGCACTTATGTGCATGGGGAAACTAATGGCACATACGTTGTTTTTAAACCGGGCCAGAATTTATAGTTCTAAATTGCAAAATGCAGTCCAATTATTGCAGGAAATATGACAAAATAACCTAATCTGTTAAAATAAATGTGTTTAATTGGAAAATGCCGCCAGATGACGTCACAAGGCGGCAAATTTTCTCACTTTTAAATATATTTCTCTCCAATTTCCCATGTCAGAAAAAAAGTTATGACAAATTTTGCGAACTCAGCTCATTTGGCACTCTCAGATGAAGCAATAAAATTTGTGTGTGGAAATTCTCCAATGGTAGACAAACATTCAAAAATGTTATGAAAATTAGTGATTTGCCAGAGGAAATTTGGCAACGCCTGGATGCTTATACGACGCTTTTCCTTAGCACGGTAGTGTTTCCATATTGTGTTGGTTTCATTTGTCCGATTTGAACTGGTGATTCCAGGGCTACGTGAGCAACACAGCTGAAGATAGGAAAAATGAAATCGGGCCTCGTTTTTTGACTTTTTCCCGAATATGAGCCACACCTCATCGGTAACATAGAGCGAGACGTAGCGAATTCTAATTATAGCCCTTCAAAAAATATCAAAATAATTGCATTTGAATAACGACTAATCTGACCCGACACGGGACTTTGAACCCATGTTAAAAAGTCATGGATATCTAATGGTTAAACATGTTTTCGTAACAATTTTGTTTTCAGTTTGAACCTTGTTATTAGGGTTTCTTTGACAGGGACTGTTCATAAATTACGTAACGCTCTACAGGGTGGAGTGGATGCCCATAATCTCGTGAACGAGCGTAACTTACGGTAGGAGAGTGTTAGGCTCAGCTTCACGTAACAGTATGTTCATACGGCAGAGTAGAGCAAGGGAGAGGACGCGCGTTGATGACGGCGCAGAGATACAACTACTCGTACTTGATGGACGTCCGTGTTGCGTCTGCGAAGTTGAAGGCGCGATGGCGTGAGACGTGTTCTCGCAATGCTCCGCTCTCTGCTGCCATTGAAGTGTCGCTCAGATACGGGAGAAAAGTTTAAAAACGAGACCCGATTACGTTTCTCTTATCTTCGACGCTGTTAGCATTCGATTGTTTTCTTCTTTTTTTCAATTTGATTTCTGATTCTTTTTTCTGGACCTAAAGCTCGTATGTGCCGGCCGCATAACATTACACCCCCAGAGTAGGTAGTTTTTTTCATAAATTTTGATCCAAGTAAAATTCTCCAACCTTTCTTTCTCTCTTTCTTCTTTTTTTGAATGGCGGCTCGCCGTGACATTGATAGGAAGCTAAAATTTGACAAAAATTTCAATTACACGGCAGTAACAATTTAAATTACTTAGCATATCTACAAATAACAAAAAAAAAAAAAAAAAAAAAAAAAAAAAAAAAAAAAAAAAAAAACACACATGAAAACACTGTTAAATTGCCTTTCGCCTTTATCACGGGTGGATGTAAGATGTGCATAACCTCAAACTTGCTCGCTGATAACAGTCATCTTGTTTGTTTATTTACGGCCGTAAGACCATCGTGTCAGCCTATTTTCACGCGACCAATGAAAAACCGGCACAGAAATGGCCATACTCTGTCTATAAAGGTACTCTAGTGTTGGAGTCTTGACCGTTGCGTTGCGTTGGTAATAATTGTGTTTGTGTATGGTTTTGCAGCTATGGTTCCGCGGGGTTCGGAGCTCCAAGTTCCGGCATGTGTACGGGCTGCCGGTGAAGCGGGAGAAGTGCTACGACAACGTCCCGATCACGCGCAACGCCCACGACTCCAACTTCTGCGCCGTCAACCCCAAGTTCGTCGCCATCGTCACAGAGGTCGCCGGCGGCGGCGCCTTCCTCGTCCTCCCCATCGAAAAGGTAAGCCCAACCCCCTTTAAACCGGTGATCCAGGGTGTCCACTAGTCCGAAATTTTCGGAAAGTACTGAAATAGTCAGGGCCGGATCTAGGGGGTGGCCACATGGGCCGCGGCCCATGGCGGCAAGTTCAGGGGGCGGCAAATTTTGCACATTTTTTAAGTGAAGGTATTAAGCAAATCGGATTCAGAAAAAAATACAAACGAGAAAAGGTGACAAAATCTCTCATTTCCTGAGAGTACAGTAATTTCGCATTGCGTCAAACACAGAGCGTTCAGCACCGCTCGACGTGAAACGCAAAGCGCCTACAAGACTGTAGGAATACTTCACGCATTGCGTCAAACTTAGTGCGGTCAGCAGCTATCGACGTGAAACGCATAGCGCCTACAAGACTGCATGAATACTTCACGCATTGCGCTAAATGCAGTGCGGTCAGCGTGAAACGCATAGCGCCTACAAGACTGCGTGAATACTTCACGCATTGCGTCTAACACGATGCGGTCTGCGCGGCGCGGCGGCGGAAGTTAAAATCATTGAATCACTTTTATGTTTGTTCTTTCATAATTTTTTCGTTCATTTCTTATAAGTAGAGGACCTTGTCCACACAGAGATAGGTTTACGGAACTTAACTTTCGCGCAAAGTTCCGCGAAATTTTGCTGGTAAGGTTGACATAGGGCTCTCGAAAAAATGTGTCCAACACGAATAAACGCGTCTTATGCACCCCGACCCCTCCGGCACGTTCACTTGATGCTTTTTATTGATGTTTCAAAACGAATGAGAAGGGGGCGGCAAAATACAGGCGGCCCATGGGCGGTAAGTAGGTAAATCCGGCCCTGGAAATAGTACTGATTTTTAAAGAGCGGCCTGGAAGTGCTGCAAAAGTGCGGAATTCCGCAAGAAGGTCCGGAAGTATTTACTTTTTTGTCGCAATTTAAGCGGGAAATTCAATTTTTTGAAATTTGCCGAATTCCGTCAACTGGAGGTACTAAAAAAGTACTGAATTTTTCTGTCGAGGAGGTACTGAATTTCCTGAGAATGTACTGAAAAAAGTACTGATTTTTGGCCAGCCTGTTTTAGTAGACACCCTGTGCTCCCATTTCCCGGAACTAGTACTGGATTTCGGAACTTCTAAGATTTTCCTGAATTTTTCCCGGAGCATTTTTTTTTTTTTTAATTATTATTTTTATTTTTATGAGAAATTGCGCACTCCAGATTTGGGTCTCTTGGCTTTAATTCTGTTTGACAAACAGCCAACGCTCAGTAAAGAGGTACTTTAGCCTAAGATTTGATTATTGATCAAGTGGAATTCAAGTTCTCGGTAAAGTTCTAATTCTGCTCTTGATATAATAATTTGGGAATCGATGACCTCTTGAGCATCCGGGTTTCTCATGAGGTTGAAGATATTGTTTGGTTGTTTCATATTTGGGCAATGAAGAAGGATGTTGTCCCGGAACTTTGGAAATTCCCAACACGTTTCGGATCTTTTGGGTGGTTTCACGATAACTGGAATAGTTTTGTCGCCGTAACAGACAACACATTTGTCGGTCATATTTTTAGTAGTAATGATAATCACTCGAATTTTTTTTTGCATCAATCTGCTCAGGGTTACGTGTTAAAACTCTTTTCAAAGATTTATCGCTCTACTTTTCAATTTTAATATATTAATTGCTGAAAATGTGCTGTCTGTTACGCTGACTTTTTACCGCGTAACAGAGTGTACATTTTCGGAATTTACATAATATTAATTGAGAAGTAGAGCAATAAATCATTAGAAAGCGTTACAATACGCAACACTTTGAAGATTAATGCGAACAAATTCGAGTGATTATCATTTTTACTGAAAATATGACCGAAAAATGTGTTGTCTGTTACGACAACAAAAGTATTCCAGTTATCGTGAAACCACCATTCTACTCCACTGCAGACTCTAAAATTGGAGCCATGGCTGCGTTCAAACCTGGAGTCATCGGTCCAATGTATATTAAAAGATGAAAGTTCATGTAATGTAATCTTTCCATTCGTCTCTTTTCAACCTTCAATCTTTGACTCTTTCCAGACTGGAAGGCTTGATTTTAACTGTGGGAAAGTAACAGGTCACAGAGGACCTGTTCTCGACATAAAATGGAACCCTTTCAACGACAATATCATAGCCTCTTGCTCCGATGATTGCACCGTAAGTCTTTTGTTTCCCCTTTTATATTGATAAGCCTTATCAGGTCTAAATGATAGTAGCGTTTTCCCTTTTCATTGCAGAACACTTTTTTTCTCCCGAGATTTTTTGTTTATCAGTTGCTTTTTTTTCTTAAGTTTGCTTGCATTAGGAGTCGTGAGATCATAATCTTTCATTAGTTCAAGGCAATGAAATTGTATGAAAACCGTCTTAGAAAGTTGAGATTTCCACTGGCAGAGATCATTCTAATCGAATCCTCATAAATATTGTTAAGCCTCCTATGTCAGAAGCTGTGGCAAACATTCATGATTATCACTAAGAGAAAAAGTCGCCTGAGCACATCAGAACTATGTAATTTAAATTAAATCATTGATTTCAATGCAAGAAGGAGTGTTTCATGAGAGTTTTAGATCGAGAATTACTCATAAAAAGTCAAATCAAACTGTTAGTGTTGGATACGCTGCACATGGCGTTCGCAAACACAATTTTGGAGAAAAGCGATTTAAAGTTTAAATCCACTAAACTTGGGGTTCCAAAGTGTAAAGTAAAATATAATTGTATGCCCTCTTACAAAAGTGAACCAGAAATGAAATTAGTCTGAATTTATTTTTGGGGATAGGGGATACCAGTGATACTGAAATATCGATTATTAACTGTTATCTTGAAAAAGTGTTTTCATAAAAAATTTGTGACCATATACTCTGGCTGCTTTTCATTTTTATAGCCACTTTTTAAAAGTTTTTCTCAAAAATGCCTTACTCTGAAAAAACTAAAAATTCCATAAAACTGAAACAACGTATTGCAGACAAAAATATTTTTGTGAATGGAAATAGAACTCTGTAGCCAAAAATATGAACCTTTTTGGTTCTCCGCCAGTACAATATGGACTTAAACAACCTTAAAGCTGGATTTATTTTGAAACAAACTGGAATTTGTGCCTATTTTTTCAATGTAATCAAAAATAAAGTAATACAATTGTGTATGAACCTAGAAAGAACTTCTCCGCAACACAGAATTCAAATTATTTCTGAGTGGGGCAGATTTTGTTGAATGAAGACACTTATTTAGTGATGAACTCTTGATTCATTGTAACTTAATGTTCATCTCTGTGAGAGTGGGAAATATTGTTTCAAACAAGTTCAGATAAACCTCAAATTATACATATTTAATGTCTGTTTTGTCAGGTTTTTTTCTTCTTATTTCCCCGCTTTTTTACTTTTTTTTTTTATTTTCTCTAATTAAATTGTATACTTATGGTGCAATTTTTCCCCTCAGATCAAGTTGTGGTACATACCAGACGGAGGTCTCGGCAATAATCTCACGGAATGGCTCATGGATCTGCATGGACACAAAAGAAGAGTCGGTTACATTGAATGGCATCCGACCGCTGAAAATGTCCTTGTCAGTGCCAGCTTTGACTACCTGGTAAGGATCCGTAGCTTCCGATGTTCTTTTCCATCAAAAATGGGGTTACTGCATGCGTGGAGAATTTGAGTTGTAATCATGATAAACTTTTTGCCATGAAAACAATAGCAATGTTTTTGAAGTCCAAAATCCATGCCTAATGGCCGGAAAATCTTGATTTTTCATCTAATTCAACTTGGTAAAAGATAATTTCCATTGACTGCTTAGAGTCAACATTAAGAGAGGTGCTTTTTTTTTTGTTTATTTAAATTTACGCCCCGTAAGGTGGCTACTTTGTAGAGTATGCTGGGAGATCCAAAATCTTAACTCTCAGGTTTCATATCAAGATGAAAAACATTTTTCTCAGTTACTGAGTGTTGCATGATTTGGTTTCAATGGGTCACTAAGCCTCGTTTATTTTATTGAATATTCTGAAAGTACAATGTGAGTAGATAACGTGGTGATTTTTATGCATTTTTATGGAGCCGAAATCGCGGAGAAACCCGCTTTTGAAAAATCTAAAAACTGCAAGACATTTCAAACGCACCCAATTATGGCGGGAAACTGACGGTGTTGACGCACTGCGGTAGTCATATCACAATCTTCTCTCATTTTCCTCTGATGTTTGTTAAAATAAAACGTGTTTCAATATGGAATTGTTGCTCGTTTATTACAGCTAACATATGAATGAGATTCAAGTCTTGAATTCAAAAGATATAATTTCGACTTTCGTATTGTCTTCATATACGAAGAGTAGATAGACAGTTGACGGAAGTCGTGGAAACCCGTGCCCACTTCTGATTGGTGCCGGATGACATCATTCAGCGCGGCGCGAAACCGGGGCGTTTTAAATTTGCGTATAAGTTGAGCGATTTGAACTGCGCATTTCTCGGTTATTGAGTTACTTAATGTTTGCGTTTTTAATGTGTGCATCGTGTTCTACGCGTCATTTTCCTTCAGAAAACTATATTCGCAAGTCAAAATTCGTTCATGGTTTAGTGACCCATTAGTAAAACCAGATGTCAATAGGTATAATGGTAAAGATGTAAAATCAAGAACTAGATTTTATTCACTATGCAGCCTATGAAGAATTATTTTATTCGTTCAAATGAGCGTTTTATGATTTGGTTCCATCATGTAAAGTCAGACACAACTGTGAGAGTCGAAAAGCATGATTTTAAATATATAAAATCAGGAAATAAATTTTAATAATCAGTGCAGCTTTTAAAAAGTATCTTTTTGTGCTCAAAAGTACTTTAAATTCAAACCCTCCCATCATAAGGATGTTTTTATGAGCTTGGATTAGTAATAGAGATCATTGATGAACAACAATTTTTTTTTTCATACCAAAATTCACAGAATTAATGCATTTTAAATGTTCTTTCACAGATGATTATTTGGGACGTGGGCAAAGGTGCCGCTCTGAACGTGATAGATTGTCACACAGACGTAATCTATTGTATGTCTTTCAATCGTGACGGAAGTCGCATCGCAACCACATCCAAAGATAAAAAACTCAGGATCATTGATCCTCGAACCGGAGTCGTCATTTCTGTGAGTTCTCATCTTCTGTCATTTATCTATCTCCCTCATCTCTGAACTAGCTACATCCTCTTTCAGAAAAGAATGAATGATGTCTGTTAAATTTTTTTAATAATTATTCATTATTGACTGACGAAACCAAAAAAGTATCAATGTCAGCCAGCATCGAGAAAAAAACCAGGTCAGATGAAGTTCGTAGGTACATAAATGAAATTGTCAAGATAGAAAGGAAACTACCAAGCAAAAATGTACTTAAGTATTGAAATAATGCTGTCTGAAGATGAATGTAGTCGGTAATAAAGTCCAAAGTTTTGACGGGATTATATGTACTGGGCCATGGAGGAGGATGGTGGTGTGAGAAACAACCGGACTTTTTGACCTGGTAAGAATTACAGTACTAAACACATGTCCTCGCATCAAAACTTTGTGTCGAAAACATTTAATTCATCAAAAATTTCGAAAATTAACTAATAAATGAGAAATTAGCACATGTACGTCTTATTGACACAGCTTGATACAAACCTCCTGTTTGCAAAGGAGAATCCAAAATCAATGTGGAACTTGTCGATGGCGAAATTTCAAAAGACTCTTCTACTTTACGATGTTTCAAAATTTCCAATCATATTTTATTTTATTGAAGAGTAACAAGCCAACTTCATGACTTAAAATCCATACAGAATTTTCTGCTAAAAGAGAAGAAAAATCCAAGAAGTTTTTACGAATTGAGTAGTTTTCCATTTAAAAAATAAAGTAGGGCAGGAAGTTTGCAGAATCGCAAACCAAGATACGTTGTTTGAGAGTTTCATTTTCAATATGTATTATGATATATCTAACATGTTTAACATTCGTTCACTAATGCTTTGTTTTTAGGAGGGAATTTGTCACGCTGGAACAAGGTCCAGCAAAGTGGCATACTTGGGGAGCTCAAGCCGATTGGTCACAACCGGCTTCTCGCGATACTCAGATCGGCAGATCGCTTGTTGGAACGAGAACAATCTCAGTCAGCCACTTATGATTGAAACAGTTGACTCATCCTCAGGCATCCTTTTCCCGTACTTTGACCAGGATACCAATGTTTTGTTCCTCGCTGGTAAAGTAAGTACTCGTTTTTTAATTTTAACCTCTGTAACTTTCAAGAAAGTCAGTTCTTATGCATAGTATTTTTTTGCTTTTGAAGAGCAGACTTCAGTTGTTAATGAAAGTGTGATTCATCCCAGGTTCGAGTATGGTCTAACTGGGGTTCAATGGATCGCATCACTTCAAGAATTTTGTTTGTCGAGTTTTTATGTTACCTCTGAACATAGAATGTCTGTCTCAAATTTAATCTTATGTTTCATACTGTGATGCAAACTAATTCTTCTATTTTGTTTTCAGGGTGATGGAAATATTCGTTACTATGAAATCGTCAACGAAGCACCTTGGATACATTTTCTTAGTCAATATTTATCTGGGTCTCCTCAGGTGAGTTCAGTGATAATTATTTTTACATTTCCCGCAAAATTCATGAAATAATCTTTCTTCCTCAGAACAACAAATCTTTTGAAAAAATAATTAATGCTTCATCGTGATGGAACCAGCAGACTGCTCATTGAAATTGATGGACAAAGCAATTGACAAAGAAGACAATGGTAAAATGGAGCAATCCTATTGGTTGAAATAAGTGGTTTATATAGACCAAGAGGGAAAATGATGGACTAATCATAGGATCTCATATTGGTTTCGGATAGGCAGCTTATTACTTATCCTTTTTGTCCATTGCAACCACTTGTTTAACCAATAGGATCCCTTCATATTTCCTTTGTCTTCTTTGTCCACCGCTTTGGCTATCAATTTCAATGATCAACCCGCAGTGGTTTTATCTTTTGAGTCCAATTTTAGGTAGAGGAAATTCATTAGAAACTGTGAAATCTTTTTTCTTGAAATTTTCTGTAAATTTTCATTACCCATTCCAAAACAGTCCGACAAAATTTCTGAAGATATTCGTATTATATTTAATTTTAATTTAAAAAAAAAAGAAGAAAAAAAAATGAAATTTTCAAATGCTACCACAGAGTAGCGCAATTTTGAACCATTATGGCGTTTTTCTTTGAGGTTAGTGTCAATCATACGTCATAAATACATTCCTCAGAATATACTTCTTGGCACTCATCTCATACAATTATTTGTACAAAATCTTGGTAAATGTAGCAAATTTTCCATTTTTCAGCGAGGTCTTGGATTCATGCCAAAGCGAGGCTGTGATGTCACCCAATGCGAAGTGTTCCGGTTCTACAAACTCCACACTGCACGAGGAATGTGCGAGCCCATTTCCATGATCGTTCCGAGAAAAGTAAGTTGGTTTTAATTTGCCTTGTCTTTCTTATTTGTATCACGAAGTTTTTGAATTAGTGGAGGTGTCCTTATGGTGCAAAGCAAGAGATCTTACAATTTTTTAAATTGCCAGATCATGCTCAGCATGTGCTGACTGATAATTTGCTTATTTGTCTACCACATCGGAAACTCGTAGCTTCCTCTATGAATGTGATTCAAGCCCATTAGCCTAGCATCGCCTGCTGATGGTCTGATTATTGACATTGATAGACAAAGCGACAAACAAAGAAAAAAAGTGGAAACTGAAGCAATTCTATTGGTTGGAATGTGTGGTTGTTGTAGACTAAGGAGGAAAATGATGAACTGACCATAGAGTCTCTCGTTAGTTACTTCATCCCTTCCCTCCTGTGTCCATTGCAACCGTCCGCTTCTACCATTAGGATCACTCCATTTTCTCTCCGTTATTGGTCTATCAATTTCAGTTACTAGCCTGCAGATCTTTATTTTTACTCTAACCTTATAGAGTCTGTGCAAATCAATTGCAACAACTCATCGCTCTTGGTCTCTCTGTGTATCGACTGTTTGATTGTCTTTATCACTTATGTTAACCGATATTTTACAGAGTGACCAATTCCAAGATGATCTTTACCCGGACACAGCAGCTCCGATTCCAGCAGTTTCAGCAGCTGATTGGTTCAACGGTGTTAATCGACCGCCTGTCCTTATGTCAATGAAAACAGGTAAATCCTCTTATTTTGTTTTAGAAGAACTTAATTGAATCCCAAATCTAGGCTCTCAATTCTGCAGGTTAAAGTTTATGAAAGATTATTTTCCAAGATATGAGGAAAAATCTTTTCCGACCCTTGAAATTTCTGTAAGACAAAAATTGGTAGGAATATGTATTTTTTAGTTTTACCTCCGTTTACTTTTCTTTCTGATATTTTGAATAAAAAAATTTCTGGAATGACTCGCATGATATTTATTTTTTATTCGGACTACAGGAACAAGAATCAGTCTAATTTCACAAAATTTCGCCAAATTTCCTCTTTTGTTATGTATAATTTATCAAGAAAATTAGGCCACATTGAGCTTTGAAGCTCTTAGAGCGTCTCGTTTTTAGATTCCAGGGAAAATGTATGAAAAGTTTAAAGGCATTGCATTGATTAGTTTTCCTGAAAATAAGTAAAGCAATGGAGGAAAAAAGTGAAACTCTTAATGCCAGAAACGATGAAGTACATCCTCTCTTATGAAGAATGCAGAGAATATAAATACAAACTGAAATTTTCCAAACAAAATTCCAATTTCCTAAAATTCATTTGTTGGATGATCATTTTTTTAAAGAAAAAAGAAGGGAAGGTCGTGTTTGGAAAGTGTACAATTTTTCTAGTGACCAAAATTAGACTCAAGCAAAATAAAATTTTAAAAAAATGTAAACTAAGATCTCGCAGTGCACAGTAGACTTTTTTCCCCATCAAAGCAGTAGTTGTGTATTTAGATATCAGTCTCTTTGTATTCATACATACTGCTGTAATTTCAGGTGTCACAGTTCACACCTACAAACCAAAAGTCTTCAAGCCAAATGAATCAACGCAAAAAACGGACAGTAATTACCGAGTGAAGCTTGCATTTTTATCGCGAGAAACGATCCCTGATTACCGACCGTTAGACGTAAGTTACCTTTCCATTGCCCTTACTCTTAGTCACAATTTGTGTGTGTGCGTTTGTGTTTTTAACATCACTCGTGTATCTTTTTTCAAGTAATTGATTTTTAATTTAGTTTTATATCGTTAATTGTTGATCTTAACTCTTATCATTTCCTCGCATTATGCATTATTCTGTTTTTTATTTACGGTTTTTCAGTACCTAATAAAAGTTCTTCCTTGAGAAATGGCTTTAATCTGCCTTGTCACGTCGGAAAATATAGAACGTATTAAGGACGATTTGGCTTTTTATGAATGTCTATCGACATAAGACTTAATGTGGGAAGGCAAATTCTTAAGACAATGATGAGATTCAACAGTTTTTTATTCATCTTAGTTTTTTCCTGTTCTTCTTTGGAGTATATTTTTCTTTTTTTGATATGCTTTTTATCACCCAAGTAAGTTCGGTTTTATATTGCCAGTTCTCCTTTGCATGGTTTTTATTTTCTTTGCGCCTTGTGTTTTGATCGATGCTTTTTTGTGTTTGGTTTTCATTGTCTGCGTTTCGTTTGTCCTTTTTTTAAAACCTGTTCAGGTCGTTAACAAAGTGTCGCAAAAGAAAAGCGAGATGAGTAAAAACATGATAAATACCAATAAAAAGAACACCAGTAAAAATGCCAAAAATAAGAGCTGCAGTAACGGTAGTATCAACAGTTTGGGTAAAAATAAAGTTAACGGGATCGACGAAACTGACCAAAAATTAGTCCAAATTATTGTGCCCAGCTCTGATGAAGAAGAGACACAGATCATTAAGAGCAATAATTGTAATAATACGGTATGTATCAAATTTCTTTATCTAAACCTAATGGGTTACAATTAACAGTATTGAAGACTGTCTCTATTTCAGGCAAAGACTTTCATAACATATTTATTAATTCCCTTTCTTACTTACTTATTTCATAAGGTTTTTATTATAAAAAATAAATGATGCCATAGAATATGTCTTACAGTGAAATAATGTGCACAGTGTATTACCGCTCAACAACGATGGATTAGAAAGAAAAATTGTTTAACACCAGATTGCTCAATACTCTGATTGTACGGAGAAATTTCTCTCCAAACCTGCCTTCAGTCAAATAATTTCTCAAGCATCGTATAATATTTTGCCACTCTTCGGGGCTCTGGGTTATAACTAACAAATATTATTCAAAAACTGTCCTCAAAAATTGAGTTATCTTAGCTAGTAATCCACCTTTTTGCAGATTGCTTGCAACGGAAAAGGGAATTAATCTCGATCTTTCTTACAATTCTTATCCTTTTTCTATTCTTTCTATTTATTTTACTGGCCTTTGCAAGTATGGTTCCTCAGTTTTTTCCTACTCATCTATCTTTTATTGTTAATTGTGTTTTAGTTTTTTTTAGGTTTTAACATATATGTATCTCCACTGCAACGTTTCGAAATCTGCAAGAAGGCTAAAAATATTTTTGATGAAACCAACCAAAATGCCTCTTTGAAATTTTCTGTGAATATTTCTAAATGAATGAAGGAAATTACCCATAAATTCTCAAGAAAGACCGGTTTTTAGTTTTCTTTCAAGGAAATGAAACCTGTGCGGAGTTTTGCTATGTTACAATTGGAGTCGTAGATATGCAGTTTTTGAGTTGGCAGCCAAAAAATCTGTATCGATTTACTTTTTTTTAGTACTTTATTGTTACCATTTTTATTCTTTAAAATTCATTAAGAAGTTCTGTAGTTCCCTAATATTAGATACTCATTCATGTAATTAACTTTTTTTGCATTAAAATTTGACTCTCTGTAACGAGCTTGCATCATTTTTTTCCTTTAATCTTTCACATTCTTCAGTTTAATGAGTCTTGAATGCCAAAAATGTCCACTCTCATTCCTTCAGTTTGCTTTAATTTTTATGTATGTCTACAGTCTTGATTTTTTTACTTGCAGATGTTACCTGAAAACGAAAAGAATCACAAAACAACGACTAACCAGACGACAAAATTCCAGCAAATTCAGCAAATGTTTGGAAACATGGTGAAAGAGGTAATACATAGTATAATATTTGCAACGGATAACGTCAGGCAGAAAATTAAATAGAACACCGATCCAATCAAATGAAATAAGATAAAATGGCAATCTAACAGAAGACCACTATGTGCTATGATCTCAAAGCAACCAGTTCTGTGTCAATGCAATATTAAGAACTTGAACATGCTGAAAGTTCTATTTCTAAAACATATGGATTTTTCTGTAAAGTGGGAGCACCAAACTCAGTGTTGCCATAGTCACGGAATACCTAGAAAACTAGGAAATGTCAAAGAAAAATAGGGAACGTGAGAGAAAATGAAGAGTGACGAGGAAAAACCGTCAAATCACTCTTATCTGCTTTCCAGAATGGGTTTGATGTTTCAAACAACAGATATTGCCTGAAAACTATTCCAAATTATGTCTTTTAACCATCTGGCGTATCCTCAATTGCCTGGGAATTTTTCAAAAATGCGAAAGAGATATCAGGGATATGTCAGGGAATTTTGTTTCCTAAATTTCGTCGCAACCCTGCAAGCAGAAATCCTGAAAATGCCAAAACGTAACCCTTGTGTCTCGATTTCCCCCTGTTCTAGAGCTCTGCTTGTACTCAATTGCCCTCCGTTTGTCGAATTGGATCCTCGGTCATTTCAGTTTCTAGTGAATACTCTTCCCTCAAACGACGAATCGGTGCAGTTTTTCTTTGAGTCGAACAACAAAGTGTAGCAGCTGCCACGCATAAAACAACGCACCCAAGTTTTCGACGCGTTCCACCATCTCAAGCCAATTCTATCCTTGACCCCTATCCTCTTGATTTAAACTATTGACAGCATCTGGCTGTAAAGAATGAGAAGTCTTCAATTCCAAGTTTCACCGATCAATATAATTCGTTAATTCCAGCTGAAAGCCCCTGTCTCTTGTTTCCCGATGTTTGTGGAAGATGGTCACTTTGAAAGTTGCTGGTATCGATTTGCAACCATTGGCCAACAAACAAAAAACTTTGAACAAAATTTTTGTCGACACTGCAGCTAAGAATCTTTTATCCTTGAACTTCGGCCGAAGGAGCAGCAACCATTCAGAATTTTTCTAGTGTAAGACTTTAGGGACTGTTATCCATTTTTGGTAGTGAACATTCCATGCTTTTTTCTCGCCTTAATTCTTTTTCTACTCTCGTTGTCCCACAACATTTATTCTTTCAACTCTTATTCAAAGATAAAAATTAAGTAAATAAAGACTGCCATGGGAATGTTTGGTGTACAATTTGACACACGTAGACCATTGCGTTTTCTTGGGCGGGAGGTTTGAATTCACGCGACAAGAAACATTGAATATCTTTGTCAGAACTAATTTCAGTAATTTTTGTTGCGCGAATCGTCTCCTACAAGAAATTTTGGTTAAGAAACATGTATCAGAATGCTTAATTTCGCACCGTGCTGAGTGATTCATTTTCTCTAGATGTTGTACTCTCGTGAATTATTATTTTTTAATGTGATTTCAGTTTGGTGTCCAAAATATTTTGTTTGCGTTCAATTCAAACCAATTTTTTTTTTCTTTTTCAGGGAAATGACAATCTTTCTGAGGATATTTTAACGTTGAAATTGAATGTTAAAGATGAAAATGAGGAGAGTCCAAAGAACGAATATCAGGTAAGATTTTTCAGTTAAATGATGATGATAATCAAGTACAAAGAATGGAATGTCTGCATTATAAGATTGCTTTTTCGTTTGTTGAAGATTGGAGCTATTTCTATTCCTTAAATCGCCAGGCAGAACTCTCCTGCGCCCCTTCCAGCAATTTTCATTGGTATTTTCTTTAGAAATAAAGCTTAAAATTACTCTTCTTCTCGTAAAATAATGTTTCTTTAAGAAAAAAAAAAATGGCTCATCCTGTGAAGCCAGGCTTTACTCCTTTGTTCGCAACATGGACTCAAACTCCTCCCCCAGTTTAACACATAATACTTGACGGTCCACGAAAAGTCTTCGATGAATAAAGACTTAACTGTGACCATTGATAGAAAAAAAAAAAAACCTTTTATTAAAAGGATAAGAAAATGTATAACATTCTTTCTAGCTACGTTTCCTAAGTTGGAACGAAAAATTGAAATGAGAGTTCACATCAGATTTCAGTCTCCACCATCTGAAAGAGTAAGATACCAGCAGTTTAAGCCGCTCTGACTGCAATCAATAGCGTTAAGTCATACTCAGTCTTGCAATTTTAAGATTCAAATAAGAACCATTAAAACTTCAAATTATATTCTCTCAAGACAATGTTTTTTGAACTGTAATCTTTGAAGTGTCATTACTTGTAATTGATTTGAAATTTTCGAGAGAGCCAAAATTGTTGTGAAACTTAATTTTGGCATTTTTTTCATGAGTGGTCTCAAATGGTAGAAAAATGCACTCCAGCTGTCATTGAGTTCGAGTAAGAGCACAAATGGTCTAAAATTGTGAGAGATTTTCAAACCCCTCTGCTTCAGGACAGCTTGCTATTCTACAAGATTCGAAGCAGTATCCACATGTCTAGCATTAATGAATTTATTTGTCTTTCCCTCTGAAGTTGCAACGAGCGTACAGTCGGCAATGTGAGGAACTGAAACTCCTCCGCAAACAGCTGGCGAGTAGAGACCGGCGCATCCAAGATCTGGAAGCTTACGTCGCAACTCTTCAAGCGCAAGTTCAGCAGAGGCGTTTGTGAAATTAACTCCAGCCTCAGGTTTCTTCTGAAGAAGTTCTTGTTTCATGAGGAGGTCAGTATCATTTACAAAATTAAATGTGCATAAATTAAAGTGAAAGAAGTACTGGAACTTAAATGTTTAAAACTTATTGAATGTCATTTTAAAGATTCAATGTTCATAGAAAAGGATTGGACTAAGGTTTAAATGTACGGGCGTATTTGTTTTTCACGTTGGCAGTTTCAATTTGGTTGGATACGTTTTTCTAGGCTTCTTAACTCCTCCCTCCATGTTTTTAACCAGTTGCTGTAAGTGTTTCAATATTGCAAATTATGAAGGCTGAGAATCCGTAACGGATCACATCAAAAACTGCTTTCACAGACTCATTAAGATCCCATAAAGGATGGGCCAAAAACGAGCCTGCCAAAACATTTTAATTATTGACGTGCAAGTTAGCTCCCACTTATTATTTTAAATTATCATACCTGAGAATCAGTAATTTATTTTGCAAAAATCAGCAACTTTGAATACCTGGAAATGCACTTGAAACTTATCCATTAGTGCACAAAATTCAATTAGTTAATGCAAAATGCTTGTACTAAAATAAACGAAACAAAATATAGCCGCTTCAAAAACTTTAATAGACAACTATGGGAACGTAGCTCAAAGTTATCAATTTTACTTTCACAAGAATTTCCTTGTCTTTAGGAGATTATCTTCCAGTAAAATTCTATTTTTGTATGCGTTACTTTTTTATTGTGGAACAGTATCACGGTTTGCGCTTATGCAGACTTCTTATTTTACCTTATCATCTACATCGAAAACTACGTAACGTCATTCCTTGGAAATTTCAGTGATTTTTCTTCTCTCGGTGAAAAACATTCTGTAAGAGATGCTATGACATCCGTTTGATCTCCTTAGAAAAATAAAATAGGAGCGGAGATTTTGAGAACTGTGCGGCAACCGAGATTTGCATTTTTGCAGTTTCACCGCTGTGTTGTTTTTTTATTGATTTTTGAGTCTAGTATATTATATAATTTTCATTTGCCGTTGGTTTTCTTTTTAGATCTGCATCAAAAGTCTGCCACTGAGAAACCTGATCAAAGCAAGATTTGTCTGATTACACCAAATTCATCCATAGCGTAAATATTTAGCGACTTTAGATATCTGTTTTTTCTCATCAGAAAGTGATTTCATCCCAGATTCAGATAATTATCCAAGGATACAAAATGTTTCAAAGATCATTTCCAATGCCAGGCCCTATTTTTTGAAAAGTAAAGATGTTTTAAGGTTTAATTTAAGGTTCAAAAAATCATATTTGCAATATTGTACTTGTATCAAAGTTTCCAAAACCCAACTTTAACCGTACATTTTTGTTCTCATCAATTTAAATACAACTTTTTCATTCCTCATAATTGGAAAAATTTGTTTTCCACCATTTTTAGAAGGAGGATAGTGGGTTCAAACAGACATTTCCTCGTCTTGAAACTCCAAGAATTTTCTCGTCAAAAAGTCATTGAAAGCTGTGCAATCACTTGATATTAGTTTTTAAGGTAGATTTAAGTTTAAAGAGGCTTCGCAGAAAACGTATTAAAATGTGCTAAAAATCATGTACCCCTTTGCTTGATGTTCTGGTTTAAATATTTTGCTTCATGCACTTTTGCGATGTAATAATTGCGCAGTAGGGGTTGATGGATTAATATAAGTTTGTAATGAGTCTTGTCAAGACCTGAATCAAAATTTTAAGTATACCTAAACGAAATTGTTCAAGAAGAGAAGGAGCGTATAATGATATAACCCGGAAGCGGGACGTTCCCAGTTTCTATATTTACAAATTTACCGTGCCTAATTGGTTTAGCCGAACTTATCAGATTTATTTTTTCTAAAATTTTAAAATTTTGGCCAGAGCTTTTTTTGAAGTTTCCTTTAAATTATGAAAGATCGTTATTTTCATAGCATCATCATTAGTCACATATTTACTTTAAATTTAGCTCCTTACTGTCTTAATTTGTTTTATACAAGCAAATTTTTTCAATACCTAAAACATTAATTTCAATTTTTAAAGATAGCTTTCATTTTCCCTGTAAAGCATTTTATTTTATGTGTCGTGGGTCATGCTTCAAGTGCTTATTTGATAATCTCTGTGCCCTTAAACAATCAATTTTCTCAATCACTTTAAACTGGAATCACTTTTTCACTGTTAATATAGCTAACTTCATCGTTGTACTTATTTTTTAAATGAATGCATTCCATTTTAGCAAATATCCCTTAATTTAACAAGCAATAAAATGTATCTGAAAATCGAACTTAGATGGTCAAGTGCTTTTAAGATCTAAAATTATTACGCTTTATTTTTTATGGCCTCAGAGCAATTTAATAATATTAAAGCAGTCTAGTTTATCCTCTAAGATTTTTTTTTCCATGTTAAGTGTCTAACTTTTTCACCACATCGTAGGAAAGCTAAAATATTCCAGTAAACTGTCAAAAATGCTGTTATAATCCAAAAATTCATATAAGGCATGATTAAAAATATGTCTAACCTGTTCATAGTTCAAATTCAGTTTAAAATGATCCACTTTACATTGTAGAATTGCTTTAGTTCAAGCTTCATTTACAGTTACGTTTCGTTAGTCTGATCTAACTCTGCGTTTTTTTACTTACGTATTTTCGTTCTGTCAAAGACATGCCTTTTAAGCTTCATACGATAGAGTTTGTACTTGCATAGCAAGTAGCTATTAATTCAGGGAAAATTTTGATCAGATCTGTCATTTCTCAATTTATTTTGCTTAAAATATTTTTCTAATGCCCAATTCAAAAGGGAAGCTCTGTCCCTTTGTCAGAGCCTACAGAAAATAAATCTACGCACTTTTAGACTGTGACAGAAGATCTGCCATCTTGATTCTTGCATTTACTTTCAATGCAAAACTGACGTCAGACAGTCCTCTATCGTAGTCTAAAGTGCATACACTTATTTGACATAGACTCTAAGTAAATGAGTTCTATCTGATTGTCTCCTCAATTTTCATTTTGAGGCCTAAATAGATTTGTCGCAGGTGTCTCAAAATCGTGCGTTGAATGTTGATCACTGGAAATCAGAAAAAATTAGTGAGATCTTTCCAACTGCTAAGTTTCCTCATCTAACATCAACAGGAGTATGGTTTTTCGGTTGATTGAATTTAGTGATTGATGTCAATCAGTGTGTTTTCAAAACGGCCTTATCTCCATGTAATTTGAACGCAGAAACTTAGCCTGAAAATATTTGAAAAGTTTTGGATGTAATGGCTAATTACACGATTTTGTGGTATTTGCAACAGATCCATCGGTTGAACGCTACTCTCGTCTCTGTAAATATGTAGATACATAGGTTACGAACCAAAATTTATGTTTAATATCCATGTATATTTAAATGGTATGTAGGTTTGTTAATTATGATCTCAAATTTTGTGTTGATATATTTTACCTGAGTACCTACTGAGTTCTTCGAAATGATGATTCGTCTACCATTGAATTAAGACACTTGGTAGCTTAACCATACAATTACTTGGACTTTTTCCTCGGTTTCTTGATTATTCCCACAACAATTGTCTGTAATTTGGACCATTATCGGACTAGAATTTCAAAGTACAACCAACATTTTTAAAATCTATCAGGAGAAAAATGTTGTAATTCTATAAAAATTCTGAAGAAAAAACTGTCAGAGAAAAACCTAATCAGCCCGGCTGCAATCCAAGCGGTATCTATCATACGTAAAGACCACCACTGTTTGTATCCTATCACAAAGATTGGTCGAAAACATTTTATTTTGTCCTGGAAGAGAAAGAGGAGTTATTTTCTTCCGTGTCTGATTTTAACAATTTCCAACCACAAATGAATTCCAATGATACGGGAAAAAATTGTTCTAAAATTTATATCTAATGCTTGTCTTTTGTCTTGTGATATTTTTGTTTGTTTTGGTTTCTTTTTCTTCTTAATATCTGTAATTTTATCTTGTAACTACTGCCACTTTTAGGTTTTATTGTTCAGCTGAATCTACGTTGTTTTCTCTTTCAATCGGATCCTTAATAATCGAAATCAATTTTAATTTCAGAGAGTTTCTCTGAATATTATTTGAATAGGTACCTTTGACTTTTATATATTGAGTTTTGAATAAAGTCTACTTAATAACTGAGTGTATGTTAAAATTGTTAAGAGCTTTTTGCTTGAAAGTGAATAAATTATACATTTTTATATAATTTCTGAGTTTTCCTTCTTCCTCTATGAAGAAATATTTTGAATTTTCCTACAGATAAATGCAAGGAGTAAAAGCATGTACAAGGATTCGATTGAGAACTTGGAATAAAATATAGGAAGACTGGGGTAATTGTCTGTTCTACTCCACGGCCATCAGTTTAGGAGATATTCACATTTTTCTGCTTTAAAAATCAATTCTCTTTTCACCATAATGAAAAATTGACTGGCACCAAAATTTTGAAAATTAACATCAACCTGAGGGGAACCCTGACCCCATGAGCTTATGGGGGGCGCAAAAGTTATCACAGGAGTGTAGACAAGCTGGAAAACGTATTTTTCTGGTTGGAGAAATATTCACTTTTTATCCGTGGAAAAATGAAGGATTAAAAAGATGGTGGTTGGACGATAAAATGAAACAGATTGATTGAAAAATCTTTTTACTTGAATAACCACAAATTAACAGACATAAAATAAACATAATTTATTTGGTTCCATCAGAACGTCCAATAAAATTGGAAAACGATATAACTATTTATGATCATAAAAACAATATGAAAATCAGTCTACTATTGAATGGAAAAATGTAAAAACGACAAGCATTAGAACTCTTACTACGGAGAAGCGCATAGACTCACAGTACTTTACAAGATCTTTAAAACTGCAAACTAAATTCTCTGACTGAGAATGCATTAAAATACAAAATTGGTTTTTCCACGTCTAATTTTGTTAATCATTTTTTTTAAATCGTTTTTTAAATGACTTGAGCAAAATTAAGTGCTTCCAAGGAATTTGTACTGAATAAAATAGGTACAATTAATTTGAAAATCCATAGCATGCACAATGCACATTTCCATTAAGTTCTAGATTAGAGTGAAATTGATCAAAATGGACAGCTGATGATTGGTCGTTTGCACAAAGGAGCGTTACTCATTCAGTATTTCTTTGAAACAATTTACTTTTACTTGAGAAAACCGTCCCATATTTGTCTGAAATTTCCAGTAATTTTTTTTACACCTTTGAAAACAGACACTCAACATTTTTTGATTCATTTTTGCCTCAAAATGCTTGTAGAAATACTGTAACGACTCAAAAGAGGTACCTTTCTTCATGTGGGAGACAAGGAATTATATCCGCTTTACTACTCAGGTCCATTTCAATACCAGGCCAAACTTTTTTCCATGAAGGTTGATTATCAGACAGAGCCTGACTGTTTGGCAAGAATCATGCTGATACGGTACTTTTAGAGCATCAACCAATTATTATATTAGAAATCTTAGGAGGAAAAAATAAGATACTTGAAAAATGAATGAAAATTCTTTAGTTATCACAGTGAAAAGTGGAGAGTGGTGGACAAGATAAGGTCATTGGTCAGTCAATTGTTAAAAGAATAAAGCACAGAATACTGCCTTGTTAAAATGACCAAGATTTAACTTGTTACCAAAAAACATTGGGGCCAACATTTAGGCTTAACAATAAATCCACACAACATCTGCCACTTTTCACGATGACCATAAAAATGAGTTCTTTGTTTTAAAGAGGAGACCAATAGGAGACTAAAAAATCAAATCTCAAAATCATTCAAAGATAATACTAAAAAGTTTGCGCTTGGTTTAGAAGCTTTATACACTTACATCGCTAAAATCATCATCAATAAATTCAGCACCATTTTGAAAGGGAATGTGTTTTAAAAAGGCAAGGGTTCAATTGAAAATTCAAGCTTTTTTGAGGAGAATGACAATGTACTATCTTCAGCAGCATCAAATCACATTAACTATTTGAAAAAAAGCTTCTAAATTGTTACCGTTATTAAAATCAATGAATTAATATAGTGCTATAAATGAAAAAATATTTCTGGATTGTACATTAAACTAATTGGTTGGATTTACCCAGAACTAGCCAAACTGTATCAGACGTAGCCTAATATCCTTTAACCTGTTATTTTTATCGCAGAAAACTAAACAACACTGAAACTGGGAATTTTGTGTGTATATTCGTGATAATCTACAAAAATTCACTAAAAGCTTCAGAGGAATATACTGTTTGGTTCTGGGTCATAAAAAAGTAGAAACTGAGAGGAAATTAAGCGACATGAAATACAGTTAGGCTGACCAGTTATTACCATTCAAATTTATTTAGACTGATGAATATTTTAACAATCCCCATCATGCAAAACCGCAGAATTGAAATAGATAAGTTAAGTGGAAAAATTAGAAAAGCAAACAAAACTCATCGAAATTAAAATTCTGAACTTGTAGGAAGTGCTTGCTGCGAATCTTGAAATATTCAAGAACAGAAAAGCCACCATATTCAATGATAAAATTCAGATTTAGAGGTAAGTGCAGTTGTGTGATATACAGCCGTGCTGGGGAAAAACACTGTATAAACATTCGAGAGTTGCTAAACTTCCTCCAATACAATGTTTAAAATTAAAGAGAGTTGTGAATATTTTCTCTTGAAATTTTCAAATAATTTAGATCAGGTTGCGAATAAAATTTACTGAAAAATTTCATTGAGGTAAAATATTCACAGAGTCCTCTTAAAATTCGTAATTTATCAAAGAAATTTGGCAACGTCTTGAGGCTAAGACGACATTTTTCCTGAGCACAGCATTATTGCTCTTAGGTTGCGGGACGGCGAATTGACTCTCTGCCACTATTCCACCCAAAAATACAACCACCAAACAAGGGTGCAAAAAGCAAGCAAAAACCAAACATTATTTTCCAATGCTCATGCGTATGCCTCTGTCTCAATGCTATTATGTACATTATGGATAAATTCGAAGAATTCGTAGCTCACACGCAAGGTCTATAAATCTCTGATTAGGTTAAACTTTATTCAAGGTAATCTAATCAAAACTTTGCCTTGCGATTTTGTGTGATTTATTTAAAAGAAATGCAGAAAATTCACAGATCTGGATAGTTTTCCTTTAGAAAATGCAACGTAAGCTAGGACTTACAACGTCGTAATCTGAGAAACGCATTTTCCGACTTCAGCCTTTGATAAATGACCAGCAATGGGCAAAGGGACTTCAGCCCACAAAAACTCAAAGTGGAGTTACTGATATCACACGAATGAATTGATCCATCAATAGTTTACAACCAAAAATGGTTAGAACTGTCGAACCAAACTAGAGTAAAATCAGTTTGAATTTTGCCTAGAAAAAAACGCGGTTTCGAATAAAAGCTATTTAGAATTCTAAACTCAACTGTTCAGGGCACAATATTGGCGGCATAATAATGAACTGAACCACATGCTATTTTGTTTCTTAGGACACTGAAGAGAGTTTTACGTCAAAATCTTGAGACCCGGACTCAACAAAAATTGCTCTACTGAAAATCCTTCCTCTCAGGGCAAAGGTCACTTTCCCCATTGATAGTCACATATCATATTAAGTAGTGAGTCTACTAAAAATAACACTTTTCTCCTTGTTCTAAGAGAACGACTGTAATAATTGTGCAATAACTTACAGCAGTTTAATCCTTCCTTTCAGCTTAATTCTTCATCTCAATAGGTACTACCAAATTTCGGAGATTTTTAATTTCAGATTATACAAATGAAACTCCAAACTTAACAAACATAACTTGGAAGTTAGGCCATACTTTGCTGTCAGTTGCGTCAATAAAACTGAAACTACCGCGTTATGAATTCAATTTTCCCCTCTGAAATGCCTTGTAATTTATCCAAAACATTTTCAGCACACGTTCCAATTCATAACTACCCCACAAATTAATTTACAAGATTTAAACCCATTTTTACGATGGGAATATATTATTGGACATAACAGAGCTTGGCGCTGAAAATATACTCGTTGGCTGCGTTCCAGCCTGTGAGGATTGAGAGCTAAAGTAGGAGCTGGGATTCATGAACGAGAATAGACCCGATTGCTGTTGTGGAGGAGGTTGTGTCGGAGGTTGTGTTGGAGGGTGCATTGGAGGGGACACTTGGTTTCCAGGAAAACCCGCCGCAGGGAACATAGATGGAAATGGAGAGGTGTTACTTGACTGGAAACTGAACAGTGAGGAAGCAGTTGGAGGCTGAGGTTCAGCGCTTGACTGAGGAATTGCATGGGGTGCCTGTTGGTACGGTGCGTTTTGCTGATATGGATAAGTGGCAGGCTGCGGCATTGGTGTGAACACTGTTGTCGGCTGTGCGGAATGCGACTGTTGTTGAGAAGCAGGAGAGAATAAAGAATTAGACTGACTCGAGGCTAACGCTCCATACTGGCTTTGATTAGCACTGCTCTGAGGGATGAAATCTGCTGCGCCTGATGGGCTTGAAGAAGAATATATGCCGTTCGACGCAACACTACTCGTTTGAGACCTCTGGTTATCGCTGTTCAGAGGATTGAAAACTGAAACGTTTGGTTGGTTTTGGGGAGAGAACAAGACATTCGACAAAACACTACTCGGCTGACTCTCCGACTGACTCTGGTTTCCGCTACTTAAGGGGTTGAAAAATGAAATTATAGGGTTACTCTGCTGAGGGGCCGTGCCATTCGAATGATAACTGGACTGGTTCTGAGACATTTTGGTTCCATTTTGCTCTGGAGGCGTGAATATTGAAACACCAGGTGGGGTGGTGTTATTAGGCAAAGCGAAGGCATCTGATAGGGTCTGGTTTTTGACAGGCGTAAATAAAGACTGATTTCCAATTTGAGGAGGCGAGCTACTTGAGGAGGAAGATTCCGTTTGGGCTGAGGATGAATCGTTAATTGGTTCCGACGGTTTTTCATCGGTTGTAATGCTTGCTGGTGTGAATATGGACACGCCAGATGGCAACTTGTTTCCACCCGGATGGGCCCGTAGGCCATAAGGATTCGTATCTGACTTAGTTGAATTTGTATCACTGCTGGCAGATGAAAAAATGGACATTCCTGCTAGCGGTTTCGTTTTGGGCGGAGGGCCCATGATGCTGGGCGGGGCATCTGCTTCCGATTTGGTCTGGTTTGTCACAGAGGCCGAGATTCCTGGTGGAGAAGCAATGTCACTGGGCGGAGGAACTCTTTCTGAATCATTTAGGTTTAAGTCGTTATTCGTTGGGGTGAAAATTGAAATTCCTGTTGGTGGTTGCATTGTGGGTTTTGGCGACGGAATGCTGTTTCTGGCTGAGTCGTTCAGATTGATATCGGTATAGCCTGTGTTAAAAATTGAAGGTGGTGGCTGAATTGCAGCTTTGGGTGGAGGGCCAATATCATTGGATGGAGTCCTCTCCGAGTTGAGGTTTACGTCATTATTTGCAGGATTGAAAATTGAGACTGCAGGGGGTGGTTGAACCACAGATTTAGGTGGAGGGCCTATATCGTTAGACTCTGAGGTGTTCAGGTTTACATCATCGTACGCCGGAGTAAAGATTGAAATTCCGGTTGGTGGCTGAAACGCAGGTATGGGTGGTGGACCAATATCACTAAGCCCTTTGGTATCATTCGGGGTTACATTACTTCTATTTGGGGTGAAAATTGACATGCTGGAAGGTGGTTGAAATGCAGATTTGGGCGGAGGGCCAATGTCATTGGTCGGAGGAGCTGTTTCTGATTTCGTTAGGTTTACATCACTGCTTGCTGGGGTGAAAATAGAGACTCCCGGTGACGGTTCCATTCTAGGTGGTGGGCCGATGCTACTCACCGGAGGGACTGGTGAGTCACTTTTATCATCACTCCTCAACGGGGAGAAAGCTGTTGAAGGAGAGGCTTCTTCCGATTTGAGCTGACTTTCGTTGCTGCTGGGCGGCAATGTAGATGCACCTGAGGAGAGTCCGCTAAACCCTGATGCAAAGCTACTAAACGGAAAGAACATCGACATTCCTGATTGTTGGCTTGTCGTCGGAGGGGAAATTGTACTTGATGGTGGTGAGTAAATACTTGCTGAGTTTTCAGACGAATTTGGTTGTGATAGCGGCACAGGCTCAGTAGCATTGGAGGTAGCCTGCCAGGAGTAGGTCGAATAGGCGGAGGACTTGGGGATAGCTATTGGTTCCGTCGGGAGGGTAGTCACTTCTAGCGGCTCGTTGGAGATGTTCGAAAAATCACCTACTGGAGCATCGGACTCGCCTGAGAGGGCTGACAAAGGCACGGTGACTGGTCCAGGGGACGGAGGACCGGTGGAAGGAGGTTTTGGAGATGGAAGAGGGACTGGAGAGAAGATATTGGGGGTTGAACGAGAGCTCCCTGAGATTTGGGTGGGGGGCGTAGGAGTGGAGAGAGGTGTGGTGGGAGGAAGGATCACTGGATCAAATTTAAGTTCAGGGGTTGGTGCCGGAGATGATGAATCTGATTCGTGACTTTTCAGGTCCCGTTGATATTCGGCTTGAAGAGGAGATTCAAAGTCTTTAGCCAAGTCACCCTGAAAAATGAAAGAGATTTAGCATCAGAAATGTTTTAAAACAGCTTGAATTTCAAACTAGGCACTATAAAAAAGACAGTATCTCAACTCCTACACATTAAGAGCCACTTGGACCAGTAGATTTAATTCATTTGTACACAAATTTTCGTTCTCAATTCATTTTTTGAGTCAACTCCCCAGCGTATAAAGTTTTATTCTCGATTACAGCAGTGCTTGAAAGTATGTTCCTCTGAACCACCATCGAAAACAAAGGTGCCATAACTCCAGCACAGACTTCGCCTGTCTCTCAAAACAAAGGAAAAACACAGATTTTTTTCCTGCCTCATTTTCTCCATTGTGATTTTTCAATGAAACGATAAATCCCTCTGAGAATTAGAGGCTGATAAATGACCTTTAGCTTTCTCTTGGTGCAATTTGTCTACAAAATTTAAAAAAAAAACTAAATTTGAGTTCCATCGTTACTTACTTCCTTGGACAACAGCAAAAGCCATGGGTGGACTTCATCTGATGATATCATTTGAGGCTTGTCTTGGGCCTATTCGATAAAAAAAATGAGTCAATATCCTGATGCTCTTATATAATCAAACTGAGAGATCATCAGTGAAATCAACTGTCTGACAGGCGAATAGAGCAATTTCAAGTCATCAATTAATTTGATTGTGTAAACCCTAAAAAGAGGACTCTTTATTTGAAGAGTATCCTTAATTTGATTGATCATAGATCTCCATTTTCTCAAACAAAATTGTGACAATAAAGCCTCTAGGGCAGGTGTAATATTTTTTTTTTTTTTTTTTTTTTTTAAGTATTTAATGAGAACAATGTATTTAAACAAGATTTTTTAGGGCCTGAGAAACACACAAACTCTAACGTTTAACATTTTCAGTTATAAATTGATGCAATCTGCAAAAGGGACCTGATGTAAAATTTAGGAAAATTGAGTTATTGGTCGGTGCCTGAACAGAAGATTCTGACAATACAGCCAAAATTTTTGAGAGGGCGAGTAATTGACAATAGTACAGTATGTACTCTAAGAATTTCCCGTCACAGGTTTTCAGAAAATTAAAATAACAATAAAACACTATTAGAAGTTTTGACGTAGAAAAAGGCAGAACAGGACTTGGGTTCCTTCAGAGATGAATTCTTTGGTCAGACCCAGCTAAAATGATTTTCTAGGACATGCAAAATGGATTTCCTCCTTTTCCAAATTTGTTGAAAGAACTTTGCACCTAATATCAAGAAATTTAATGCCAGCTGAATTTCTTTTTCATTTGATATGACGTTCCTTACAATTTCCTGAGCATAATAGACTTTGAAAATCGAACCATCTAGGCGCCAAAGAGAAGAACCGGTCGGAAAAAATAATTTGTCAGCATTTTAACACTCATTGCAACTACATGTAACAATGTTGCTACATTTGATTGGTGATTGAGGGGAACTCCTCCTTCTTAACTGCGCTCACGCCAGGAAAATAAGATGGACAGTACAGTGCGTAACTTCACGTCAAATTCTCTGGGAAAAAAGGCTTTGTATCACCACCACAATGATATTGCCAAGTTTCCATAAAATTGCCAAAAGATACACTTTTCAGCCTTGCGTTTCTCAATATTGTCATGGAGAAAGTTCAATTTTGAAAGCTCATCATGCTCAGAAGGTCATAAAAGGCACCATACCAAATAATAACCAAATCTAGTCCGTATAAAATTCCTTGTTTTTCTCTGCAAGGTACTCTTGGATAAAATCACATTCTTAGCCCTATGGAATATTTGAAGAAAATTACTTCAGGTCTTTTTCTGCAGATTGCATCATGATTGAGGAAGTGAGTGCAGAAAGGAAACCTTTCTGTTACAGCGTTTCAGAGTCTCGATTAAAAATTCCTTCTTGTTGGAGGAAACTATTTGATCATTGAATTTGCGATCTGGGTTAAAGATATTACTGGACTATGAAGAATGTTCAGTTAAGTTTTCATCTCTCTACAATTATTTTTCTCCTGTTGACAATAGAAATGTGAATAGAAATTCTGAAATACTGGAGCAAAGCAGTGCCCTTTCCGCACCCAAGTTCTCAATTGAATCGAAGTATGCGAAAACGTCCGATGTCCAAGACAGTGTTTCAGAATTTGAATGGACAATTTCGTCGTAACTTAATGACACAAGTTGGTTTAAGACGTTAGGAATGAAGGACAATTTTATGAATAATCTCCTAAGTGTAATGAAACGTTTACAAAAGAGATCGATCCTATTCATCAGTGTTGTGGGACAAAAGAAACCCACCTCAATTATGAAACCCTGTACTGGATAATGGACGTTTTTGCATACATCAATTCAATTTCAATAAACATGAGTTAAGCTTACCTTACCCTCTGATAAATTTTTGAAGCAAGAGCTCACCTCAGAGATATTCTCAGGTTGAGGCTTTTCCTCTCGGTCGGGACTAGGTTCAAAAGGCTCTTGTTTTATTGGACAGATCTCCTCCTGTCTTTGGTCTTCTTCTTTTTCTTGATTTACTCGCAATTGACTTTTGAGCAATTCTATTTCCCGCTCTTGATCTGCGACTAGCTCTAGCAGGTCTTCTTGATCCTTGCGAAGCTCCATCAGTTCTCTCTCGGTTTGTTGTAGTGCCTGAACTTGGCTCTTGAGGTAAATAACCTGGAAATTTCACAACAGAGGTGAGGTTCGGATTTATATATGAGTGATGAACAGGACTATCAGATTGAATAATATAAAAATTAAGGATAGGAGTTTAACAAATCATATAAATTGCAATTTTAAGAAAAACCAAATGGTCTTAAAATTGTGCAGAAGTAAAATTTACATTTAGTTTTGGCTTAAAAGTTTAGAACCTTTGTTCCTTCGTACAATTTTCCTTGTTCACAACTGAACAAGGAGTAAAACTTTTCTATATAAAATATTCCTATTTTGAACAATAATAATGGTTTAAGATATATGTTTGTCTAATTTAGCTTGATATTAAGATTTAATTATTAATTTTGAAAACGGGCGATTTCCTCTGTAGTGTCTTAAAGATTATTGGACATTTTTATACTTGAACAGAAACTTAGCTATTGTACTAAAATGCCATTTTTACTAGTAATTATTAATATGGATTTCATTTTTGCTTAAAAACTAAATGAAGATGCTGGCTAGAGATTTTTTTGAATAGCTTAATAAATTGCACAATTTTATCAGAATTGTACAAAGGATGGAATGGTTTTGAAACTACATATTGATTTGATTAAACAAATAAGTAAAAGCTCTAAAGTGTTTTTAACACTCAAATGAGTTTCTCACTCGCATGGTAAAATATCCATGCTAAGAAACCACTGGCCGATTCCTCGTAAAAATACTGCATTTATTACATTGATATAGATTTTTCATTACTTAATTGGTGGATGATTTTGATTCAAATCGCCATACCTCTGAATCAACTGCTTGAGATTCCGCTGCACTCAGAGGCCTGTTCTCTAAATGTAACCTTAAATTCTTCAGCTCTTCCTCCTAGAAAAATAAAAACAAATTTTTTCAACCTAATTTCTTCTATTTTGAATAAAATGAAAATTTCTCAAACCACCTTAAAGGATAATAGAAATTGAGAAATGATACAGAAATGACGTTAAACAGGTTCATTTACTAGCAATGAATTCATTTAGAATTTAATTTAAATTGCTTTACTTTAACTTGGTCTATTTCACTGTTTAGTAGTTTCTGGATTTCTTTCATCAGTGCTTTGCACACATTCCAGTGAAAAATTATGTACTGTTGAGTATTCTTATTCTTATTCTCATTCTTTTACAAAATTGCCATCAGTTAGGACTGAGTAAAAATTAAGGCGGGGATGGTATTGCCAAGTTTTTCACTCAAAATAATTTGCAGAATCTGTCAATATAACTGTCATGATTCCCTCAGGAAAGGTTGAAAAGCTGAAAACATTAATAAAAAGTTTAAAAAAAGTGTAAAAGAAAGAGAAGAAGAGAAGATTTTCTCTCACTGCAAGTACAGAACAGCTTTCAATATCCATAAAAAGTCATTTTAACACATATCGGCGCTTGCTTGTAGCATGGTTTGACACCCAGGCAATTTAAAGGAACTCACATCTATGTCGAGGAAGAATCATAAGAGCATCAGTTTCAATCCTGGTTTTCTTGAAACTTCACAGAAGGGTGTCCATTGGTTTTCAATGAGCTGTCAAAACAGTTTTGTTAAAAAACGGTAACAAAAAAAAGACCCTTGCCGCTAGCAATCAAAATTTTTTGGATGTTTACCGGTTAAGTGGGCCAAGCAACCCACTAAAAAAACATAGGAGGCAACGATACTTTGACTCAAAGCTCACGTAATTCCGATTGTGTCGTCAATTTCCAACAAGCGCAACTTTATTGACGTGTATCAGTGTTTCGATACAAACGAAGCCAATAGCTTGCTGACGGAGATTTGTTTGAACACCCCTAACTTCATAAGTTTCTATTATTGATACCTTCATTTGGTTGTAAGCAATTCTGCTTAGGAAATAAGAAAAATATCAAAAGCAACCTGAAAAAACCTTATAACTTACCAATCTTGCGATAGTCTGATCCTTCTCTTGTACTACATTAATACCATGCGGTGAGCCTTGATTTATCTGACTGGCTGCTGAGGTGGTGCTCAGCTGAAAATATGAATACAACGTTGAAACAATTACCTTGGTAAAAATATCTTGTCAGGTATGTGGTGATAAACTCTACTTACTTTTACCATTTTTGCCAGACATGGTGTCTTTTGGAAACATCTTTGCAGGCTTGTTTGAATTGGGTAGAGAGATTTATCTTAGAAAAATTATTTCAGAGATGAATGAAACTTTAGGTACATCCATTCATTACTGTGATTGATATAATGGTTGGTGCTAATCTTTGAAATTAGACATTAACATATCTTGAGGGTTTGGTAAGTTGCAATCTTTCAGGATTTACATGAGTAAAACCCTTGTTCCTGTTACGGTGTTGAGCTTTCCTTTTCAATAAAAATACAAGTCCAGAAAAAGACTACACACAGATTACAAAGAAAAGCGCCAGTTAAATTTGGAGATTTTTCTATGGCATGTCCTTCACAATCTCTTAAGTAAGGAAAGCTTTGAGAATCGAACACTCATGTACCAATCTCGAGAAAATTGAGTCTGAAGAGTGACTTTTTCAGCAATTTGACATGTGTTATCATATAAAGAAGTAGCACTGTTGCTGCTTTGCGGAGCCTTTTGGTTTGGAATAAGTTGAAGAAAAAGAAGCTCACTTTAATCACCTACAATTTTCCACTTGATAATGCGTGTAAAACTGCCGAAAATAACACTTTAGAGACTAGATTTTCTCAAGATTGGCACATGGAAAGTTGGATTTTTAAAGTTCATCTAACTGAATAGATCATACAAAGCATCATATCTAAACATCTCGAAATTTAACCGAAAGAAAACCTTAGTATCCCCAGTGTAGTCCTTTGTACGAAAATTGATTACACCTGAAGACAGTAATGTAGAAGATAAATGAAAATACATTGTCATAATTTAAGATTACTTATCTTTCTCTGATCCTCTGTATGTATATTAAATAGTCTTAAAACTTTCACAGGGGATATCCCTCAGGTTAGGAAAAATAGTTTCTTGATTTTTGCTTATTACCTGAGCTTTCAGTATTAAATTTTGATCAGTTAATTCTTGAATTTTGGCTGCTTGCTCAACATTTTGTGCATGCAGTGCTTCATAATGCATGCTCAGCTCTGTGATACGTTTGTCTTGCTCGCGGATTAGATTTTTATACTGCTCGATATTCTCCGACGGTCCGTTTGTTAAGTCTGTTGCACTTACAGTCACAGCCTTCATGACTAAACCTGAGTGGGAAAAAAGATAAAAATTTTGTAATTTTCTTTCCCTACCTCAAACTTCCTTCACATATTGAAGGGGTCACGGATCCCTTACAAAAATTAAGAATTTTTTTAAACCTTTTTTTGGATCAACTCTTAAAAAGAACACAAAGTTTAGTGAAATTGTAGAGGGGGATCTATCAAAGAGAGATTTGAAAAATGTTCGCCTTACGATTTAAAATATTTCAATTTATCCCGAGTTCTGGCATTATTGAAAGGAATTCTGAGGCTTTTGGAAAAGGGGTCGAGAATAGCAATCTCTAGATCCTGGGATCGCAACAAAAAGACAAATCTTGGGTCTCGTGAGGCAGTTTCAAAAAATGATGTCTTTTTTTTCTGCTTGTTACTCAAAAAAGTGGGATGGATTGCAAATTTTAATTTGCAAGCAGGCATTTTGCCATAGAATCTGACACAGGCCGCGAATAAAAATTGAAAACATAACCGAGAGGCAAAAATGCAGCATTGCAGTAAACTGTTTACGTTTTGAAACTTTTAACATCCCTGTTTCGGACTTGTTAAAATTTATGATTTTGATAAAAATCAGTCATTTACAACAGTTATTTACTAGCAACTTGTTCATTTGAGAGCTATGCTTTGATCACTGAACTCGAATAAAAAGAGGATTCTTTGAGAGTTCTAAAAACACTAAAACAGAACAATTATGAGAAAAACAGAAAAAAATACGCACCTTCGAGAGCTTTGAAAAGTTTACAAAATTCATGGTCTAACAGTAAATCATTTGGTGAATTGACGCGGATGTTAGGGTGTTTCACAGCACGGCTGTACATTTCATGCCTGGAAACTTCATTCAGTTTGTCTAGAAAAACTTCCAGTCCTACCCTCTTGTTGATCAGCTGTCGCAGATTTTCCTGAAAAAGGCAATGGAAGGAAAATATAGAGTCCACGTCTTCACGTTTTGAGAAATGATTTGAGAAATGAGAACAAACTCTGCAATATTGCTTGAAATTTTTTTTGCTTGAAGAATAAAAATTAGGGAAATTTTCAAATGACAACGCTGAATATTTTTCCATTTAGAGTATAAATTATAACAAGAAGCTTTCAGCTTTACAAAAAGAGATCTGCAGTTTTACAGTTTCACAGACAATATTACAATGAAAAAACTTACCTTCGAGAAAGAGGGAACCGAATCATCATTGAAGTGAGTACAGATTCCCATGATGAAGGCACATAATCCCTGGACTAACTCTTCATTATCATCGTGTTCAGTAGCACCAGCCTGAGCAACATAAAATAAAATAATATGTAGACGGGAGGGATTCTAGCTTCCTTTATTCTAAACTGAGGAATAAAACTTTGGTATATTTTTGCCTTTTTTTAGTTGGGGTTGATCAAATCAATTATTGGATCTATTTACAGTAAGACCTTGAATTATCAGATCACAATTAAACGGATTCCGCGATTTAATAGATCGATCCTCCAGTCCCTCCAGCGCGATTTAACGGATTCGGCCTCCGGTCCCACGAAATCCGATAAAGCGAGGTCTTACTGTATATCAAAATAAACTATCTTAATTGTGACACAGACCTTGTTATGCATGTGTTTGTATGGGTTTCAGGGCTCAGGTCATTGTGGAGAAGTCTTTTTGATTTAAATACGTCCTTGGGAAAGTCCATCTGTAAGAGACATGAGGCACTTGAGGGACAAAAATGGAGGAGTTCAGAGTGACGTTTAGGGTGCATTATGAGGGTACGAGGGAAGTTTTGGGCTGCCTCACCTAAAGCAGAAAACTGACTTGTCTGCGATTTTATGAAAAATCATGAAAGGAAAAAAGTTAACGTTGTCTCCAAAACTTCTTGAAAATCTTCAATTTTTTACAGCGTAAAAAGGCCAGGTCGATTAAAATTTTTCAGGAGGAGGAGGGCTGATACAGTCTCTGAAGAAAGTTACACTTGAAAAAGTTGGAGTTGATCAGCTGTCACACACTGGATTTCGAACATCGAATGAAAAAGATTGTGTTTGTTTTACAATAGCATAAATTTATGTGGATCTGAAAAGACAATTATTTGACTGTATTTTAAATGGGAGGCAATTCATTGCTTTTTGGACAGTAAAACGACCCTATTTCCTCAAATTAATTTTATTTGTTGGTTGAATTTTTTCTCCGAAAAACATCCTGCACATCTGATAAAGAATCCTGCAGATGCCCCTTACTCTGAGGATGAGTTTCTTAGCCTGTAGACATCCTTTCTAATTGCTTTCTATTTCTCATTATTCTCATTGTATGTATGAACTGTATGATAGCAATGTACCATTGGTTCAATTATCAAATTGTATAAATAAATAAATAAATAAATACATAAGTAAATACATCATCTACAGAGCATTTATGATGCTGAAAAATTTGCTCCCAAATCATCCAGAGCAGATGGACTGTATTATTTAATGGCCAACCACTAAGCTGCTGCAGAGGAACGTTTTTGAAATTGATTTCTAGTTATTAGTTTAAACAGGTATTCCATGCAGAAACAGCAAGTTGTACTCACCTGAGTGGTTAAATAGGATATGCTGGTGTCAATGGACAGAAAATGACGTATGGCTGGTGGACAGTGTGACAACCATGTTGCCAACAATATCAACAGACCTAGTTTGCTTTGAACCTTGTTGCTCTGAAACAGCAAGGGAGCAGAGATGAACATAAGAACATAAAAGATAATTACGTTAGATATAATCTATGGTCCATGCAGTCATAATCAATAGACAGCTGCAAAGACTATGAATCATGGCAAAAGAAATACTCAATTGAGATTGTGGCAGTGTGGCTTCGACGGGTCACTAAACTATGAACAAATTTTGACTTGCGAATACATTGTTTCAGAGGTAAATGACGCGTAGAATCTGATATGTACATTAAAATTGCGAAAAAATAACTCAGAAACGGAAAAATTTGCAGTTCAAAAAGCCCAACTTTTCCGCAGATTTGAAATGCCTCCAACCGAACCAAATGATGTCATCTGGCACCAATCAGAAGCAACCACGAGTTTTTACGACTTCCGTCGAAAGTCTTTCCACTCCTGGTACATAAAAACAACGGGAAAGCCGAAACTATATTTTTAGAATTAAATAATCGAATATCATTTGTGTTATCTGTAGTTTTCAAGCAATGATTCCAAATTGAAATAAGTTTTATTTTAACTAGGGTCAGAGGAGATGCCGATTTGACTTCGCTATTCCAATGCATTTGAAATTTCTTTGAGTCTTTGGACTTTTTAAATGTGGGCTTGTCAAGGATCTAGGCTCCAAAAATACGTAATAAATCAATATGCAAAAATTCATAATTAAATAAAAACCACAAGGTTCAGTGACCCAGTTAAGGAGTATTTTTGGACACCATCTTGCTTTTCTCAGCCATGTGTGTTCAAATGGGAAATTAAAATATACAACTTTGAAGTAATTTTTCATGAATTAATATTGTTTAAAAAAATCCAGGAAAAATCATGAACGTAAACGCACTCTCTATTTAGAAGAGATGCAGGAATGAAAAATTAGTAAACGAGCTTATTGGACGCAAAATTCCTTGGAGTAAGTTTTTACCTGCTGAAGTAATAATGTGATGTGATGGAGAAGAGACAATGGGGTGTGGCTGGAAACAGGCGTTAAAAGGACTCTCAGCATTGATTCTTTGGCGGCAGGATTTTCAATCAATGCGTGAGACAGTGCGACGGAAGATAACCAATGTGATAGGACATCATGACTAAAAAGGCCACCACAAAGCAGTTGGCCGGCAGTCACTGATGGTTCTGAAATTTTTAAAGTATTTTAGCATGAGCAAAGCGTTGAGAGACTTCACAACTTAAATATTTAAGTTACTGAGGAAAAACTTCTGAGGAGTGTAAAGAGCCATTAAAAAGGAGTGAGAGTCTGTAAAAAATTTTCAGCATTTGGACCAAGTTTAACAGAGAGGCATCAACTCGTATTTTGGAGAGCAGAGAGTAAGAGGAAGTTTTGAATTGACGTATTTCAGTTACACGGAACTAAACTCCAATTTCAGTTCCATTTGAGGATTTTAGAATCCCAGATAGCACGTTCTGTCAAACGGAACTCAGAGCCATGCGAACACAGGACGGGTGGAGCTCTGCAATCACCTGCGCCCGCCGATCCAACCTACTCTCTCCCTTCTTCCCCCTACAGCACTTACTTAGTTCCGTTTGGCAGAAATATGTCCATATTAAGTTTCTCCTAGCAAAAATGAAGAGTCGAGAAAAAATATTTTGAACAAAAAAGTAAGTGTGAAACTTTGTACTTACTATTGAGTTTTGAAAAAAGGATGCAAATTCAAATCTCTTTTCCTTGGCTCAATCTTGACGCAACTTGGTGCCGATCTGTTAAACTCAGTCCATTTTATTTTAGCTACTGAGCAGAGGAGATCCTTGATTCTTGTGTTTATAATAAATCAACCTTGAAGGAATACTAGTAGGTAGATGGAAGATTAAACTACACTTACGTTCTGAGGTAGAGGGTAGTAATGTCTGAATTAATTTGGTTTGTCCCATCTCATTACGATAAAGATAACACTGGAAACTGTACAGCACCGCACACCGCAAGAAAAATGGCTGTCTCTCATTGACCATGGACATCAGGAGGACAACAATTGCTTCCCTGGAGGCATCAGATCAAAAGTAAATTATGGAATATATTAGAAAAGGAGGTTGTATTATATATGGAAACTCATGGTATACTTAATTACTATGAACATTTGAATATTTTTCCAAGTTAATTTCTTCAGGTATTGGACTAAGAGTCTGTGATTAGATTTGTGAACCTCCATAGAATACCTATGGAGACTGCAAATGAGTAAAGGAAGAAAATTTGGAAATTTTGGGGCAAGTTCGACCCAAAAATCTCAAAAATTGAAGGAGATCTTCATCTGTAGTTTCTTAAGGAAAGTCATGAGTCATTTTTGTTCAAAAAAATTTTTTTTCAGTTTTCAGTCTGATCAAATGTTACGTATCTTCAGCTGTACCTAATTCAAAGATAGTTTTTTTTCAAAAATCTGATCATTATTTTCTCAGTTGTGCAAAGTTTTGTGACACAGAGAGTTATGCAATCCAGCACCCTCATGCAGCACTCTTATGTGTATCCAAAACTTTAAACATGTTTTTCTCAAAACAAAGATTCTTGATCTTGCGGCACACTTTTTAGGATCAACAAAATGGACTTTCAAATTTTTTTTTGTTTTTTCCTAACCTTTTCTTCTAGCCACAGACAAAAGGATTATCTCTAATTACTCTTCAAGAAACAAAGAAAACAGTATAAAGGACCATTTGCCTGAATTTTCTTCCTTAACCAAAGAAAATTTCAAGTTTTTGAATTTTTAAAAATTCTCTCATCTAAAGCCAGATGAAAGTCTTAGGAATGGAACAAAAAAAAAAAACTGTTTGAAGGACTATCCAGTAGAACTTGAAAAAAATGTACCTCAGCATGGGTAAATTTTAAATTGTGAGTATATGACTCCAAGACTTACTTTGGAGGATTGGAAGGTGCCATGACGGACGCAAAGTATTCCTGATTACTCAGGTTTCCTCGTATAACTTCAGCAACAGTTATAATGGTTTCGGTGAGTACGTCTACAGGAACTCCACCGGCCATCAAGATGCTGCACAATTTCTCTACGATGCCAGTTGCCCGCAGCGCTTTTTGACAAGAGGCAGTTGCTTGACCTGGATTCGCTGGTGAGACCAGTGTCCTTATGATCTGGAAAAATATTTATTTATCGTAAATCTACAAGAGAAAGTCTAAATCCAAATAAGAGAAAAATAGGTAAAAACCAGAGGCTAAAAATTAGGATTTATAGATTTAAACAAAACCAACCCTTGAACAAGATAATGGGCGACTAACCAAGGTCTCAACCAGAAGAAAGCGTCACATGCTTCCTACTCAAAATCTTGCGGTGAAAACGGTTCACACAGCGGGAAGTTTCGAAATCAATTCCTGAACGAGGTATTAAAAGGTACCCATTTTTAACACAGATCAAATGGAAGTTTTGTCATTTGAATGATGTCATTCGTACTTCTGCCATTTAACCAATTTCAATTATAAAAACACCTATACGTTGTTTAGGAGTTAACTTCAAGACTTCCTGTTCTGTAATTTGTGTTCCACATGAAATTTTGAAGAAAAATCATGTTACACAGTGCTTAAACTCATACCAATTTTAGAAATTAACTAATCTGGTACAGCAGAAATTTGCACTTTTGTAATACTTTTCTGATTTAAATACCAAGGATATTTTCATTCCGGGCTCACTGGTTAGTTTAATAATTAAACTAGAAATGTTGACACTCCGACCCTTGCTACTGACCTATCAAGGAGGTGTGTCTAAAGGTAAATGGTTGAAATAAAGGAATTCTAAAACATAGAGGTAAAGAGAGAGAAAAAGAGAGAGCAGGAGAAAGAAGTAATTAGCATGTTATTCACCTGTAACACAGCATTGATATTAGAAACTTTTTGAGGTGTCAAGCCAACATCCAGCTCATCATCGTTTAAAATATTAAACATGGGTGCCAGTCGTTGAATGTAGCTGCCTGGAAAAGGAAAAATTAAATTTTATCTATCTTGTCATCTGATAATTCAGATTCATCTTCATTAAATTGCGATTTTTTCAGTGCGTGCTTTGACTTCCTCAATTATTTCATTCATTTTTCAACCAGAGTAGATTCAATAACTAACTTTTAATGGTTGTCTGATAATTCAAGAGCAAGATATTGGGAATTATGAGAGGGAACATTATTTCAAAATATTGTTGCCCCTCATGTAAAATTATGAAAATTTGCTCCGTAAAAAATTTCATTTTGTGAGCCTGAAGTGAACAAAATATACATATTTAAAGGAATTGAATATTTAGCATGGATGCAATTTTCCTCATCATTGAAATTATTTGCACTACAGCAAAATCTATTTACATGTGATTTGCATAAAACTCGGGATTGTCAAAATATTACAAGACTGTTCAACTGCATACTTTGCCGCATTAAGCCCAACATTAATTTCTACTCACCTCTTTCATATTGGGTTAGGTTTTGTCATTTGTCATTCATAAAAAATGTTCAAAATTTTGAACACCTTGATGTTTTGTTGAAATTAATCTGATGACGCATTCACATATTATAATTAATAATCATTAAAGTCATATTGACAAAAAACTTTATGAATGTAGCTAGGTTAGAAACCTGTCACAGTTAAAACATTTTTTATGCCCAGCCAGGTAACGATAACTTACCTTCTTTGAAGAAATTTTGATTAGAAACATTATTTTTCAACAAATTAAGCATCAAAAGCAAACAATCTTCCACAACAATATCTCCATCCGCGTAGCCTTCATCATTGATGACGTCAAAGAGTCTGTCGAAGGCATTCTCAAATGCGACGATCTTTTGAATATTGGCGTTACCTTTTGTTAATTGGAGAAGCAGTAACAATGCCTAAAAATGAGAGAAATGGCCACTCTACAAAAATTGTTATAAAACAGAAAAAATTTCAGAGGACATGCACAGGGTTTCTCAGATTCTAAAACCGATATTTTATTTATATGACAGCTTTTGGGACAAAAATGACCACTGTTGAACTCCAAAAACCTTGCTCAAGCCTTTAAAGAGGAATATAAATTCTTGCCGGTCAATACATATTTTGATAATTTTATCAATGAAATAAGGCTTTCTAAAGTTTACATTAAAATTCAAAACACTGAAAAATCTCAGAGCAAAATTTAGAGTGGATTTCTTTTTGGAGTCAATTTTGCCCCCAAATAACTCCTGTGATATAAGTAAAGAATGAGCAAGGCTCCACAAGAGCAAAATTAATTCCACTAAAAGACTTGATTCTACCCCATGTGAGCAGAGTTCATTCCGCAAAATTAGCAGATTCTGCTTCGTTTTCACATCATTCCAGTGCTTGGAGCAAAATAGGCTCCGAGTGAAATGCACTCAGGATTTTATAATTCGTTTCTACTCAATTGATTTTCTAACAGTGTTCTAGTTCAGGAGGAATTTTCTAGCAGCGAGTTGGTACTTACGTCATTTCGGATGACTTCTCTGCTGTCACTCAGGAGATCCATAAGTTTGGAGACACCCATCGGACTAACCAGGACAATATCCTGCACTTCTTTGGGTCTGTAAGAATAATCAAATTGAAAGATCAGGACAGAAAATTAAGATAAGAGAACCATTTCTTTTCTTTTTCATTTATTTCTAAGATCACGCCTAAAGCGGCAGATACACCTGCAAGTTACAAGCTATTGTTAAAAGTGAAACACCAATAGGAAACCAGGATTTTGATCGCTTGATGTCGAGCTATCAAAATCCTCCTTGCCTACTGGTGTTTCACTTCCAATGAGCGCTTGTAACTTACAGAACTGAACTCGTTGAACTGAACTTGGGTGCTGTTCATAAGCTAGATAATGCATAATTCCCGATTTTTGTATCCCTCCTTCCCCTTCATAACAATCCTGTGACACTGATCAATATTTTTCAACCCATAAAAAGAAAAAGATGTCATGTTTTCCTTCACCCCCTTTCTCCCAATAATGTTACATAGTGTATTAATGTCTAACTAAATTCAAAAGGAAGGAACCAAGTCATATTAAATTTTAAAATAAAAAAGAGGTTTAAAGCTTTCTTCTTCCACAACTTTCAGTGTAAAAAATTATATTCATGTCGATTTTTGGGATACTAAAAATTATTCAAGGACCTCTGATTTTTTGGCGGAAAAATGTTATGTAGGTTTCTGTTGAGCTCAATAACACTAAACACTAATTTTGCTTGGAAACAAATTTGGTTCTTGTTTTCGGTCTTTAATATTCAGCCCATTAATATCTAAAGGTTAAGTCTTTTAGGAACCTCCTCTTTATTCAAGGTTCCAATTTCTTGAGATGTTCTTCATTGCGATTGTTAGAAAGAAAATAAGCCAGTGCGTGAAGGAATTTGGTAAATTTTCTCAGATTTTGAAATTGTGGGCTGGTATATTAGCATCTGGCTCCAATTAATGCACTACCAGTCAACATTTGAATATATGTAACCATTTCAGAATTTGATGGATTGCGAAACATCCTGGCATCTAAACAGGCTTAGATTCTTTAGTTCACCATATATGCCTGACACAGCTTGAATCACAAATCAATTTCTGACGAGTTTAATGAACTTTAAAATGTTTGTAACAAGGGCAATGAAGCCCTCGATGTACTATTTTCCAGTGTTTGGTTCTCTGATAATGCTGACATATTTAAGATCCTTAAAAGGTAATGACATTGAATAAAAATCTGAATGAGAGGCTGAGAAAGAGTGTCAAACAAAAAGAACTTACTTGCTAGAAAGTAGACTTTTCAGGAGTTTGACGGCCGGCCATCTCACTCTGAAATCGTATTCTTCGAGGAAGCTTAGGACCAGCCCCACATTGTCCGGCTGCTTGATGAAAATTTCTGTAAACTGGGCACCTAAATTGCTTCCTGGCTTGTAATTTGTGTCCTGCCATTCTAGAAGAACATAAAAAATCGTAGATGTGAAAAAAATAAAGGGTATACAACAGAGAAAAAAAGCAAGACCAAGATTAATCCACACCGGCCAGTCATTACACATCTTTTTCGAATTCACTCTCCTGTCTAGGGCTGTTCTATCGGTTGTCGGTAAGCTACCGAAACAATTCTGTTAAGAAAAAATTATGATAGGAGGGCTCTTGCCGATAGCGTAGCTGGCGCCATGAGTGGATCTATTTTACACGCTGCCGCGCTAGGCAATCTCACAAACCGACACACGGGGCAACAATGCATTGAGTGCAAGCTCTCAGAACTCTGATAAGGTCAGCCGTCCACGATATAATTGCCACTGTCTGTATTGCCCCCAGTTTCAGTTTAAGACGATACCGATCGCATGGAAAGACTTTGTTTGAACACCCCTACCCCTGTCTGACCCTAACTAGACCACAGCCACTACTTATAATGTAGCATTGCGATGGTGTAAGTCGGCAATCACATAACTCGTTTGCGTCTAAAAATCTCCGCCTCTATGTTATTTTTTTAAAGGAGAACAAATCGACATCATTCCTTGAAGTTTTGGAGAAGAAAAATCGCCGCAGTTTTAAAGAATTGCAGTTGAGTAGTTTTCCATTTAAAGAATAAAGTATAACAGGAAGTCTACGACATCGCAAACCGAGTTATGTGATTGCCGACTTATACAGTCGATTGGCTTCTCCTGTAAGAAATACGATGCGCTACCACCAAGGGTCCTACCACCAGTATACAGTAGGCAGTCAAAACATTCATCCAGTATGATCAGATCTCTATCCTTGAGCATTTAAGTTAACACTTTACCTTCTTCATCAAAATCCTCGTCTGATGTGATATTGCACAAAGCGTCCAAGGCATACCCGACTATTTCACAATCTGCGTAGTCAGTCTGAAGGACGTAGGTGAAAGCTGACATGCCATGAGCACCAACTTCGACTCTGTATTTCCGGGATAGTGATTTAAGAGCTCGGCAGGCATCTCGACGATCCTCTAATAAAGTTGATGATAAAACTCGCTCAACCAAACGCTCAACCTAGAAACAGATAAGGAAAGTAAGGGACAATCCAGGAGACATCAAATAATGAAAAAATAAAATGAGATTTTCAGAGTAAGATATAGATAGAGGTAAAATTATCGATACATTCAAGAACACAAATCCAAACTTCACCGTTTCAAATTTAGTAAGTACTAAGCCTTCTGATGCAGTAACTGAAAATGGCAGAAAAATTCCAAATCGAAAATGAGGCGTAACATATTTTATCCCGAAAATGATTTTTCCACCCACAGAAATTGGCATTATCTTTCTCTGAAGTATTGTTACATCAACGTTTGGTCAAAATGCAGTGAAAGGAAGAATGGGGCGAGGGTATTGCTCTATTCATATCTCCCATTTGTATTTTTAACAGGTGTAAAATACATATTCATGGATGAGTAACAACATTCAAATTCTCAAAGCGCATTCTCCATAAAAAGGGTGTAGGTTGCAATATGCATTTATACTGAGATGCCTCACTCAACTATGGAATGATCTGTCTTGTTACTTCTCAGACTGATGTATCATAGAAATTTCATGAGAACAAAGTTTATTCAATGCACACATTGATGACCTAGAACCAGTTGTTGAAGCGCACTTCTCAACGAAAGTCTACGGAACTCGTGACCTAGCTCGGTTCGGTCCATCAGTAAAAAGCAAGCTGACACCTAAAAATTCAGAACATTTGAGGCAAGGAATTCCATTGCTAATTGTCATACATTCTAAAAGTAAAACGTAGCAGTCGGTACGACAAAATGCCGGTAGAAACGAGTAGAATTTCTAATGGATAAAGTTTGGACATATGTCTTATCAGTGATAGATAACCTAACTTAAAGTATGATAGGACTCGTAGTTACCGTTTCAGCCCCAGAAGGCTGCTGTGCTGCTTCTTGTGTTCCCAGAACAGATTTTAAACCGCTCGAAAAAAAATTCATGATAAAATAATGCAACTATCCATAAAATTTAAACCAATTTTTGACAGCAAAGTTCCACGTAAGATTTGTTTACAAATTAACACACGCACACACTGACAAACCATTGACTGCACGGGTACAATGTTGCCAGAGTTCCATGACAAACTTTTACACTTGGAATGTGCTGCTCTCTGGAGAAAAACTTCTGAGCTACTTTTTCTACATTGCTTTCAGATCTCACTGCTCTGATTTTTTTAGTATTAGATTTATAGAATTTAATAAAAGCTCATTTTCATATCTACATTGATTATGTACATCATATAGAAGATTTTATACGTGTATCTTTCGATCGATAAAGGGCAACAATATAAACAAAATCATGTAATGAATATTCAAGATTAGTTGATTTGACAACAGTGAACTGTCTGGGGAATGAGAGGGAGATGGAAAAGGGGGATTCTGAGGGGCCCCCCTCCCCGCGTACGCATGCAGGTTGTTACTTGTTTTCGTGTTTTGTTTTTTTCAACAGTTTCGAAAACTCTTCCTCGCTCGGAAGTTCGGCGGAATTTCGTTAGACTTGGAAACAAATATTCTCCTAATAAATGATACGATTTCGTCCTCGTGAATCCTTCGATATCTGTGGAATCTAATTATTTTATTAGTTGTGTTTAAAAGTGCCTGGTTTTCATTCGATCTTCTGTCTTTTGCCGTATCTTTCCGTATGTACGTAACAGTCTGAATCCCTCTTGCATCCAACCATCCCTCCAAAATAATCATTCGGTTATCATTACACTTCATTCAGTCGGATTCCAATTTCAATTTCATTAAAATTGAAGTTTATCACAGTGGTTGTGCGTTTTTTGTGCAGTGGTCGAAGTGAATAATTTATTGTGAATTCTGGAATGCTGTTGAATCTTTGGATACTTGGGCTCATTCTGTGATACCTAGAAGGTGAGCATTTTCATTCAATCTAGAATTTTAAGTCTATAAATATTTTATTCATTACACCCTGTGACTCATTGGCTGGTAAAACACAACACTCTTTGTTCATCACTTCTGATGATTTGTTCACTGCTCGAATCCTGTTGGAATTTCTTCATTTGCATGTGGTCAGAAATCAGTATTGGCATTGAGAGCAATATGTTTTAGTAAGATTTTTCCTCTCTTGAAATACTGCAAGAAAATTGAGCGCATAAATTGAGAACTGAATTTTTAATTTCAATCACATGTAGGAATCCAGAACATAGCATTCGAAAGGGTGAGGTGTACCTTTTTCCATTTCCATTGCAAACTGTGACCTTGTCCTATTAAATGCGGGGTTGCTGTCTTCCGGGACACCCATCAACTTAATCCGTGGTAAAAATTTTTCCACACCATCTCTCAGTTTTACAGGGTATCTATTCTGTAGCTTTAAAGTACCTTTTGAGCGACTCCAACAGGTGGCTGAAACGCAGTATTGAAATAGCACAAACCAGGTATTTGAAATTTTAGCAGGCAGTAATTGTTTAAAAGCTTGGAAGCTCAGTTTAATATCATAAATAAATGAATGAATGCTGCGTTACACCTACCAGCTTCTTCAGACTTTACCTTAACGGAGTGCTTTGAAGGATGACTTTGGCCAATCTACGAATTGACATTTCAGTTTTCCCCACAGCATATCCCCTGTTCACCAATTTGATCAATACCACCTACGTAATCATACCTAGTCATTGTTTGAAGTTATCCTGTCAAAGCTGCGGAGAGCACACAGGATTGTGAAGGGTGGACTTAAAATACCTAATTGATTTCTTTTACTTGAGAAAGCGTATTAGTTCTGGGCATGAAATTTTTAGTTGAATTTCTATGCAAGTTGGATCAAATGAAAAAAATTTGTATGACAGAATCACATCGTAAAAGAAGGAAAAATGTATTCAATGTATGCCAATACAGGTAATGTTTCCCTCTGCAGAGTGTATTGCTGCCAGATGGTGCTAAAAATTGAGCATATAAATTCATTAAAATGTTTACATTTCATCCTACAATCTGAGAACCTTGCTGCATAAATTACTAACACACTTGCATGATTACTTAAGTGGCCAGGGATGCTAAGTAGGAATTGGTTTAATCTACAGTAAACTAATTGAAAATGTGATAATATTGATATTCCGAACTGAAATGTGATGATATACCTTCAACACCAGTTAAAACGGACAGAACTACATTCTTTCTCGAGCTAGAAGATAAATTGTTGGTCTTGCAAACCTCCCAGCCGATAGTGTTTTATCAAGTGAAATCTAACACAAATAATACCAATCTGAATGATCATTTTTTCTTACGTAATCAACCCATCATCAGGCATATTTTAGGAGACCTAGCATCAGATATTCCACTTTGCACTCTCTCTACTCAAAAAGACAGATGAATGATTACCGAGTGCTTTTTCCTTAATGACTTTTTTTGGCTGGGAACGCATTTGACTTTTAATATTAGTCCAACAGCAGGTAACAACTCGGAACTGAAATTCATATAATTTGAGAATTTCTCTGAAGAAACTTCCCTCTACGAATATTTTGCAAGGGTTTTGAATGAGAAGTACTTTTTTGCCTGTAAGTAGATCACTCCTCATGTTGACAGTTCTCGAGAAATATTTTGTGACACGGATATCCAAATAACAAATTCCAATCCATTATCCATTATCAGCAGCAATTGTGTGTTCTCATCAAATATCAGAAAGTTCACTTCAGTTCATCTGCAAAGCTTGCAAATATTTACTCAAAAAACAGTGCCAGATTGATTATTAGAAGGATGAGCTTGTGTCTCTGTTCATTCAAATGAGAAAGTTTTCAAGCCTATTGATTGACATATTAAGGTTGACTTTTGTCCCTCTGGTCTATATTATACCAGTTCGTTAGTTCTACCAGTTGAACTAGCCAGCCAGGTTAAGTTTTTGTTATCCAATTGGAACAAACCCCAAGAGCATTCCAATGTTGCTAGGATCGTGCAACTTACATGTTTTGCAATTGAATTACTGAAATCATGCCGAAAATTATATTTACTTTCAAAATTAATTTTCGTCCGGAATTTATGGTGTATTGGGAGTAAAGGCTACACTCGTTTAGATGATCAGTATATATTTAAATATTAAAAAAGGATGTTCAATTTTAGCGATATTGGAACGCTCTTGATTCCTTTTCGCAAAACGCAATCCAATTGAGTGTTCCGATTTCACAACATCCTAGATTTTCCAGACAACTGGCGTGCGCATCCCGCCAGACAGACATTTTATCGGGAAGACTCAATGATCAGGAACGACCAGTGGCGTGGCGTGAATGATCAATTTTCTACATATATCTCCCCATTTAAAGCCGTGATAAAGAATCGATTATGAAGGTGTTCGTTGCGAACACCCTGTTTATCGATCCTTTTCTATTTGTTCAAATGGCAGATCAATCGATATATCGCAAAACGCCGCGCGACTAGGAACGAACATGAGTGTATATGATTTCAATATCGAAAAAAAAAAACCAACAGGAAACGGATATCTACAGCGATTAGAGCAGAACATGATGCGCAAATAAAATGTATGAAAAAATTAAGGACGTGCAGTAACCGCACGAGATAAAAGTTTTCAGTGACAAGGCGTGAATGATCGATTATCTACGTTTCCCCATTTGAAGTTATGGTAAAGAATCGATTAAGTATCATAGTGTTCGTTGCAAACACCCCGGACATCGATCCTTCTCCATGGGTTTAAATGACAGATCAATCGATGCATCGCTAAGCACGCCACGCCACGCCACTGAAAGTTTTGCACGTTGCCGATTTCCGAGAAAATCATAATTTGACAGAAATAGACTGACTAATCCGAAACGCGCCAACTCACATTTTTGAAGAAGAAAACGAGTTAGAAGCAGTTTTGCAAGCCTTACACGTCGCCTTTTACCTGATGAGCTCTCAATTCCGCCGTGTGAGGAAGAACGCCGTATGAACATTCGAGAGTTGCTAAATTTCCTTCGATAAAACATGTAGTTTTGACGACATTCATGCATATTTTCTCTTGAAATTTTCAGACACTCTAGATTAAATTGTGTACTAAAATGTCTGAAAATTTTGGAAAATAATATTCGCAATTTTCCCAGTAAATTCTGTTTTTATCGGAGGAAACTTGGCAATGTCTGAAGGCTCATACGGCGTTCTTCCTTAGCGCGGCAGAATTGGTGCATGGTGCATTCGGAGTCAAAATTGGCAACCGTGTAACATGTATCAAATTTACACCGCAGCTCTGCCGCGCTAAGGAAAAACAACGTATGAGCCTTCAGGCGTTGCCAAATGTTCTTCGATAAAACACGGATTCCCTGGTAACCTTATGAATATTTTTCTTCCAATTTTTCAGAGAATTTTGTTCGTATTTCGATCTAAAGTTCCTGAAAATGTCAAGGAAAAATATTCATAACATTCCTCAAAAATAAACATTTTATCGGAGGAAACTTGGCAACTCTCGAATGTTCGTACGGCGTTTTTCCTTAGCACGGCAGAGCTATACCGTACGATCTGACATGCGAAACAACCGAATCAATGCAGAAAAAAAACTCCTTTCCTCTCAGCTCAAGACAGGAAGTCACGGCTCCGGCGAAAAAAATTTTGAAAGAGGGGGGGAGGGTGCAGAAATTTTCCAAGAATCAGCTCGAAATCAAAATGCGCGCAGCCGTTGGAGTCATTCGCGGACGTGTGACGCTGCGAAGCGATTTAATTAATCGTCTGAGCGATTAAGAAAGTGTCAGGGTAATTAGAAAAAAACACAAACGGCGGGTAAAAAATGGGCGCCTTCCAGGAGGGATGTCGCGGCGGGTCCCGCGCCATCAAGATGGGACGCTTCGTTGCGGTTATGAATTATGTCACATCCGTTTTAACTTTTCGAGCTGGCTCGTTCGTAGTGTCCGTACCGTACGCCCAGGTTGTCTCCCTGCGTGTAACCCAGTTTTCATCATCCTTCATTCAGTTTAGAGTATCTAGGTACTACAAGACGGACATGTCGGTAATTTTGTGGTTAGGTAATGGAGCTTTTAGGGCAGAACAATTCAATTTTTCAATTCAATTTATTCACATTCTTCAATTTACAATGTACAAAAATAAT